GCTGATTTTCATTTTATTTTAAATATAAAATCCCTCATAGAACCTTACAATTGGTTTCATAATTTTTGGGGCTTATAACTAATTAGGATGACCTACAATAGCCTTACACCAATACATTTCGCGATAGTTCGAACGTAATCTTTCTCACAGTTCGATATAAATATTGGCTTATAAACGGAGGCCGGACGATGCTATGAGGTAGTAAATCAAGGCACTAACTTGAGGCATTAACCTATTGTGAGAGGTAGGAGTAAGATATATGGTCGGCCTAATACACCTCAGCATGCCTATAACTGACTTGTGACCTCATTGTTATACAAACATAACAGCTGGCACCAGCGAAATGCATATATTAGGCTAATTTATTGTATTTATTTGTCTTTTTAAACCAGAGTGTACAATAGGAGCTTAATAATTTCAGAGTATTCGAAACAAAATATTCCATATAAACTATGCAAGAAAGTAGGGCACACATTAGTACATTACAACCGGTAAAAAGTAACATAGAATAATATAGCATTTTTATAATTCTTATATTTTTAGCGAATTTCCTATCTAGGGAGTAAGTTATTATGGTAGTACGCATGGTAAGACCTGGACCTGGGAACTATTTACTTTTTCGTATTGAGGTCCCTACAGGCCAATTACACCATCCGTTCACTTTCATATACAGGGTGTTTTTTTTAAAAACTTGCATCTTTATTTATGTAAAAACCGCAATCGATAGAAATATGCAGTTTGCGGGAATCATCTATTGATGTAGGGGGCCCAATTGTTTTGAATTCAACGTTACATTCACATTCCCCCCCTTTTCCCCCTGCCCCCAACTTAATTTTTTTTAAATAGCAAGGTACCCCTTGTGACATATCAAATGAAAGAGTATAAAAAAAGAAAATGTTTGATGAAAAAAAATTGAAAATCGGTTCATAAATTTGCGAGGTATTCCCCCCCCCCTTCCCCGGAACTTAATTTTTTTTTTTAAATAGCAACAAGGTTCCTTAATTGTTTAACTTAATTTTTTTTTTAAAGCAAGGTACCCCTTTTGACATATCAAATGAAAGAGCATGAAAAAAAAATGTTTGGTGAAATTTATTTTTCATTTGATATGTCACAAGGGTGGGTACCTTGATATTAAAAAAACAAGTTATAGGTAGGGGAAAAGGGGGAGGGATTATCTCACAAATTCATGAGCCGATTTTAAATTTTTTTCTCCAAAAGTTTTCTTTTTTCATGCTCTTTCATTTGGTATGTCACAAGGGGTACCTTGCTTTAAAAAAAAAATTAAGTTCGAAGGGAGGGGGGGAGAATATCTCACCAATTTATGAACCGATTTTCAATTTTTTTTCATCAAACATTTTCTTTTTTCATGCTCTTTTATTTGATATGTCACAAGGGGTACCTTTGCTATTTAAAAAAATTAAGTTGGTGGCAGGGGGGAAAGGGGGGGAATGTGAATGTAACGTTGAATTCAAAAACATTGTGCCCCCTACGTTAATAGATGATTCCCGCCAACTGCATATTTTTATATATATTGCGGTTTTTACATAAATAAAGATGCAAGTTTAAAAAAAAAAAAACACCCTGTATATATATTACAATGGAATTCGCTTAGTCTGCAGGTTTGCTGCGGCTGGGGTATTACAATAATGCAGCATTTTAGGGGGTTGGGTTGGGTTAACTGAAAAATTACTTTTATACATAATCCAAATGAAAAAAGAGCCTAAAAAACCTTGAAAATCAGTGAATGAGGGACAAGATCAATTTCCGCAAAGCTAACTTAACTTTGAAGAGTTGTGACGAAATCTTCAAGACAAGTTTTGAAAATACCTCCGCAGTACAATAGCTAGTGTTCTAATATTAAATATTATTTATATCATTAAATTCACCTATGGTAATATGGTTGTGTTTTATTGAAAAGCTATTACATGTTAGGAATTTCATCATCTGTATAATGTATGATCACATTTTTGTTTGGTAAAACAATAAAAATATTCATACGAACGGATGTATAATTTGCTCTTCTTTGTTTTCAACCTTTTTGTGTTTAACTTCTGACTGCTAAAGTGAAAAAAAAGCCTTGCACTTACACGTAATTCAGTAGTGATATTTTTTATTTGTGCAACCTTTTTATTTTTAGGTTTAAAATGATTTAAAGAGTTGAATTTCTTGTTGAAGAACGTTGAAGTTGAACAAAACCGAATATTTCAAGAACATTTTGGGATGTCAGTTTTTAAGACACATAATACATTTTGTGAATGTTGAAACAACCCTATTATCAGCAATGCAATTGACAAAGTTTCCTTTGTCAAATTTAAAGCCCCTAGAAAATTCTACTCGTACATTGATAGCTTCAAGCAGTTCGTCTCATTATTACAATGGAAAAAACATTTTCCATTATTTCCTTTATGTAAGTTGCCTTTATAAACTCAATATTAGGCGTGTGTTTGTCTAAAGCTTCTAAACAAGATATTCCTTAGCAAACGATAGCTCTATGGTTTTTATGAAATCGATGTAGGTTAGTGTAGGATTCTTTATGAACATTAAGACTAAAAGTACTTATTAGTAATCAGTGTATCTTCTTTATACTTATAACCATAACTGACAACCATCCAAATAGCTTTTGTTTTTAACTACCTACTATTAATTTTCCTTTTTCACAAAAGAAATTCCGTATGACTACTGTATTACCAATTTTGAGAAATAAATCAAATTTATATTTTCAGCCAAGTTCATACAATTCTAGGTAGACTTTCATGTAGGAGCTACAGAGGGGAAATACTTAGACTTTAGGTGCGGAACAAAAAGAGCAGCTGAGTGTTTAAGAAAACAATCAGGGCATGAAAAAGTTGAAATATAAAACAATTTGATGGTGGATCGCCGAAAGCGCACCAGACCGAAGTAAGTGCGGTGAACGTGTCCCGTCATGCCGATGCTCAGTTTAAGTCATGGCAGTAAACGGTCGAGAATATTGCTTGGTTTACGGTCACGTGTTGCCACCCCTTCTCTCCCTCTGCCGTAAAAATTCTCTTAAACTTTATTGACACTTACTAAGTTCCTTTCAACGTCGATCGGATAAGAATATTCATTTAAGTGGCAAATATATTTTCACCAGTGGATTGTCAAACGTTTCTTTCTATGAAAGTGTATGTGGGGTGCGTTAAAGTTATTATAGTCTGGATAACGTTAGATTAGTGATAGCATATTGGGCTGAGTCAGACAATTCTGGTTCGAAATCAACAATCTTTACTCTGTGGTCAACACTGACTAGTCCATGTTTCTTATTCTTTAACTTAGGCCTCCACACAGATCTGTACCATCCACACAGATAGTGGTCAGTTGAGTTAAAAAAATAAAATGTTGAGGGAAGGCAAAAGAGAGTTTATTATGGAGCATAGATATAAACACATTCCGTTGGACATTAATAGCTAAGGTGAGAATATTCGCCACTATAAAAAGTGAACGGCCCATATTATGTAAAGAACGCCAAGTGCAAAGACCGTAAAATAAAAAGCATCTTATGATGAAAACGCGAGAGAGCACTTTACTTGTGCCCCGTAACAAGGTCTGTTCACTTACCACTTGGCCATCTATAAACACTACAGAGGTATCGCTGAAAACCTTAAACATTCGCTCGCCGAACCCCTAATACCACTCTGGGTAACTTTTAAGTTTTTCAATTTAACTAATCAATGTGTTCTAGCCTACTTTAATCTGAGCATATAAGTTTGTGAATTTTACTGTATATTTCTTCTGAATGTCTATTTTGTTTTAATGTAAACTGTTTAATTAAAGAAAACTCTAATGCAGGAATTTATTATGACCATAAACTCACCAACGTGTTTTTTTTTTTTTACCTTATTATATTAAGTGCAGAAACGATCGATTCAATTTAGATATTATTTATATTGATTTGGTTCTTTTTCCACGTGTGCGTGTTATTTGAGATATAAAGCTGTTACATTTTATTACGTTTGTCTACGTAGAATGATCTTATAAACATTTTACACAGCTTTCAGTCTGATTAAAATTATATACTTTTATTTAGCACATGAAACCAGTAGATAATATTTAAAATATTATGCAGGGGGTATTATTGTGTACCCATACGGAAAGCAGTTATTCGAATTTTGTAATATTTTTTACCATGTTGTAAATGGAAAGTTTGTGAAAACTTATAACTAAAGGTTAGCAATATCTCCCAGCTTCCATGTACAAATAAAAATATTTTGTTTTAAGTTTAAGTTAAGTTTTTTTTTAGAAAGTGTAATGATTTATACCACATATATTACTTCTCTTTGGGTTTACAAAACAAAATCGTAGAACACTTATAATTTGTTAGAAAACCAGTAGCCATTCAAAGCTGCTTGCTATATTGCATGTAGCTGGCAAGTATTTCAAGGAAACAAATTTGATTTATTGTCACGTAGGTTCAATGCATTAGTAGTTTGCAAAGGTGACCATTTTAAATTGTACATTTTGGGACGATAGTAATCCTGAATAATTGATATACCAAGAAAACGGGTAACTGAATAAATAGTCGAATGTAATGTGATCATTGCGGCCTTAAAACGTAAAAAAGGTTAACGTAAGTCTGTTATCCTATAAGAAGATATCTACCTAAATTTTAGCTGGACTTCTTTTTAAACTACACTGAGAGAAAGTTTTTGCTGGATTACCTTTACAAAAATGTATAGTTCATTATGTAATAATTGCGAAGTTGTTCTGAAAAGCCGGTATACCTAGGTGATGCATAACTGAATATGGGCATGTTTGTTTATTTATGTATGGTTAATCCAAAATGAACACACAATTAATGATTAATCCACAATTTTGTTTAATGTATTACAATGTTTCCAAATATGCTTCTGTGATGTGTTTTGGATTTCTTAATAAATTAATACAAGTGTACCATGGTTCAATATTACCAACAAAATCTACGTACTATACTTCTTTTTAAACATTTACTGCATACTGAGATAAATATTTTTTGTTAACCACAGAACCAACAAAAGTTAGTTCTCCACTCTTCCAAGACAGAGACAGACTGCTCACCTTCGACGCGAGGAAGGACGAGTTGGTTATTCTTCCTTGTTTTGCTCAAGGGTATCCTCCCCCAGAATACAGGTAGGTTCAGATGTATGCAAGTGTATTATCTTTGCATCACCTCGCTTGATGTATTTACTGTTGTTTGCTTGCTTGTGTCTACGCCAGAGGCATTTTTATAGTGAAATCAATTCAAACGCTTTTAAAGGAAATCGGTCAAAACTCCTTTAATTTGAGGATGTACCGGCAATTAAACCCGTCCCTCCTGCAACGATATCCGATACGCTAACCTCTAAAAGCTAGCAGCACAACCACAAGGCAGACATTCTAGAGGATAAATCAGTCATTTACCAAACTAATATCAGCCCATCATGGTGGGTATAATTAGGGTAAATAAATACCCTCCTTTTGGAATGATTTTGCGTTGTACAGGCCAGGAAAATTAGGCACACCCTGACAACTTGCCCTCATTTTGCCAGGCCTGTACAACTTAAGTCTTGGTTTTTTAGCTACTTATTATTCTATCTTTTTGGTATATCGTTGGATGAACATTTTCAAATGCTAAAGACGTCTTCGCTGAAAAAATTAAAAAAGGCAAATGTTCCTTTCTTGTCAGATATTGCAACCACGTTGGTCAAGGAATCTAATTTGCCAGGAGAAGTTCCTAGGATCAGTTCAACCTAGTACCAGATATATTGCATAGGCTATTCTCAGTGTCAAATCATCAGAGTTTAACTTCGATCAGATTAATTACCATAGGTTAGTTTGGAAGGTCTCAATATTAGAAATGTTAAATAGTTGTAATTATTAAAGCTGGCTTGGGCTACTTTCTGAGTTGGATAAAAGGTATTCGTCGGGAGACGGACAACGGCCCAGATCTTTGTTTGGGTTAATCCCCTGATTTATGGCCTGAAGGTAGTGGTCACCGGAGGAGGGGTGGGGAATCGAGAATTCTGAATCCCACTGGAGGCGTTAACTTTTTGTAAAAGATTTCGGTTAGAATGCGATTACTTCTTAACTGTACATCTTTTGTTCGAATTTAAGACATTTATGATTTTATGATCAGAACTATTTTTCGATTAGTAAACCTTTATTCGATTTTTCTCATTATCAGCAAGTTTGGTTGGGTTGGTTAGGATATACTAGTTTTATTTTGTAATTTAAAAAATATAAAATTGAATTTTAGGCATTTGTAATTTTATTTTGTGAACAAAACTATTATTTTGATTAGTAAACCTTCATTCGATTTTTCATTATCAGCCAGTTTGGTTAGTTTGGTTAAGTTATGACAGTTAAATTAAATTTAAAATTAACCTACAAACGATACGTTTTGACAGCGACTGTGATAGAGCTAACAATTAGCCGCGAACAGTTCGGCTATGCACGGTATGATGCGGAACCGTTCGACACCAACCTAGAACCACAGAAAACATACTACTATATGTTTTCTGTGCTAGAACTGACAGGTCAACCGACCGTGATTAAGAGGATTACAGCCTGGGTCATGTGCCTACACCCGTATTCGTCATCTGGTCCCCAGAAATCATTTCCAACAATCATCATAGTCAATTTTTGTCGCAGCAAACATAGGTTAGGGCTCAGACAGGCTAGGGCCTATTCCAGGCTCTGGTCCAACATTCCATAAGTCACAGAGCTAGTCTCTGTAAATAACTACGAACACTAGTACTAATATACAAAATGGAGGATTTTGGGGAAATTAAAAAAATTGAAATGTTAAGCCTCATTGAAAGACACCTCATTTTAAAGGTCGTGATAAACGAAAACTAACAACGCAAACTACAGGTTTCATTGATCTTAACCCAGTAAAATATAGCACTCAATTGAAATCTTTAGAAATCAGAATTATTAACTTAACACTTTTCTTACGTAACATTTTGGGAACAGTTAATATTTGATTTTTTAAAGCATCATTGATGACTCATTTTAAGTATTCATTACAAGGTTACAAATTTTGTACTGAAGACTTCTACTGAAGCCAGTATTTTTCATTGCTCGAAATGAAGGAATATAAGAGGTTAGGTATCTAATAACAATTATTACTTAATTCTGACTTCTAAGTATTTCAATTGACTGCCGTATTTTACTGTGTTAAGATAGAGACCTCTAGTTTGCATTGTTAGTTTTCGTTTATCACCACCATCAAAATGAGGTGTCACTCAATGGGGCTTAACATTTCAAATTTTTGAGTTTGCCCAAAATTCCTCCATTTTTCCAAACCAAGTAGCAATTAAGCTCAAAATGTACTTCGTAACATGCCACAAAGGTGTACAGAGTTTAGTTTTTCTAGTGTAAGCCATTACAAAATTTACAGCCGGTCTGCAGACTTGGAAAGCTGTAAGTTAAATTTCACTTCTAAGAATTTTAATTGACTGCTATGTTTTAGTTTGAGTTGTTAGTTATCTTTTATCAGCACCTTCAAAATTATGGGTCTTACCATTAGAAGTTTTTGAGTTTCCCCCAAAATCCACCATTTCGGTGATGAACACGAAGTAGCAGTTATACCCAAAAAGTACTTCATAACATGCCATAAAGGTTTGCAGAGTTTAGTTTTTCTAGTGTGAGCCACAAAAAATTGACAGGGGGTCTCCAGACTTTTTATTAACCCTGTAGATGGGATGTCTACTTCAGTATCCAATAGTCAATGCTTATGTAAAATTAAACTTTTTCATAACAACCTAAGCTAACCAGTAGTTAATTTTTTCTGTGTTATATCCTTACCTAAAAAATATCAAACTGAAATTGCATTTGCAAACTAATTGTACATTATGTCACATTGTAGCTTGTTAATGAAGCAATATACACATATGTTCTCATATGTAGAAGGAGTCATTATTTTATTATTATAATAAGGTATTAAAGTGATAGTATTGTAGCCTACAATAGGTGTGTGTTGTTTTAGAATGTAAAGAATGCATTTTTACATAAATTTTATTTTATTTATTTTTATTCATGATAGTTTTATCTAAAATCTATATCTGTGAAGATGTCCGTAAATGTTTCAACAGTTGGCTTTTATGATTCTACGTGCACTGATCTGAACTCCAAATAAACCTTAAATGAGAGTATGAAGTGAGTGTCCCTGGAAATATAAATCTGCATTCATAATTAATTAGTAAAGTTAAAATAATATATTGTATGTATTTAGGAACATTTAATAGACTTTAACTTGATATATACCTAAAAGATCAAAGAATATATCTACAAATGAGACAAACCAATGCGTACATATTAAAGTTATGGAATAAATTTTATTTAGTAATATTATTAATGCAAGGGTTTTGAAAGTAATACTCTCTGTCGTTTTCCATTCCTCTGCGACATCTCAAAATTAGCATAGGGCATTCATTAGCATAGGTCGACTAAGAATAACCTCATCTGAATATTATTTGAATTTGAATAATTTACAAACGACGACATAATAACGGAGTTGAAGATTAACGAAATAATTTTAGAGATTATTTATTATAATTTTACATACTTTTTATGTAAAATAAATATAAATAAACCACACGAGATTTAGTTCAGACATATTTGCCTTTTCTATAACGGTTATTGAGGAAAACTTAAATTAATTTTAAATTTAAACTTAAATTAAATTTAATTTAAATTTACTGTAGAGGTAAAAGAGTGTAAGATAAATAATTGTTTTATCCACAGAGGACCAGAATTTTAAAATAACTAAGAGAGATAAGGGATGAAAAAATAGTTGATGGATAAGAGCTGCCAAAGAGTTTGTGAGTATTGTTTAGAACGAGACGAAGTATGTGTAGAAAGAAAGGTGTGGGAATGACATGAGAAGCAGAAAGGGTGGGTAGGAAGTAGAATAGGAAGAGGGGAATGAATATTCCACGAATAAAGATGTTTTTTACGAATTCATTGTAATCCTTTGAATATATGATGACCGTTTGTATTTGCATGGTATAAATTGGCATACTCGTGATAACTACTGATTGTCTGGATGGGAAGTTGTTGTGACGAACCCGTGCGGCAGAGGGAAGAGAAGTAATGACGAGGATGAGATGACAGGTTCCTGCGGGTGGCAAGGGGTAGGTAGGTGAAGGGTGGCAGGGGGCAAGGGGAGTATAGCTGGGGCGGAGTAATGGTGAGGCGGGGATGACAAGCCTGGGAGACAGTCTGATGGAATAATTGGAGTGAATTATTTGCATAACTTGTCGGTGCTTGGCCGAGCTCATTAGCATACCCTACACAAGCCCTAGTTCCTCTCTTCGACGATCAATTCTTCATTGAAAACATTGTTTTGTCAACTAAATATCTGAACAATGGTTGGTTGGTTCCCATACATGTTTTGCAGGAATTAATATCTTATATTTCAAATAAAATTTGTGCGTCGCATATTATTTTCTGTGGTGACTAAACGTAATTTTCACAATTGTAAATCACAAACGTCTTAACAAAAGTTTTATTTGAATATGGAATAGTGTAAAACATTGTTCAATTAACTACTATTAAATATGACCTCTACGTAATGTTACAGGTGGGAGTGGCAGGACACCCCAGTATCTGACAATGAGCACCACTACATTACAGGAGGAGGAGCGCTACTGGTCATACCTAGTGCTTCGGTCACTGCTATTACATAACCTCTATGTAATGTTACAGGTGGGAGTGGCAGGACACCCCAGTATCTGACAATGAGCACCACTACATTACAGGAGGAGGAGCGCTACTGGTCATACCTAGTGCTTCGGTCACTGCTATTACATAACCTCTATGTAATGTTACAGGTGGGAGTGGCAGGACACCCCAGTATCTGACAATGAGCACCACTACATTACAGGAGGAGGAGCGCTGCTGGTCATACCTAGAGCTTCGGTCACTGCTATTATATAACCTCTATGTAATGTTACAGGTGGGAGTGGCAGGACACCCCAGTATCTGACAATGAGCACCACTACATTACAGGAGGAGGAGCGCTGCTGTTCATACCTAGAGCTTCGGTCACTGCTATTATATAACCTCTATGTAATGTTACAGGTGGGAGTGGCAGGACACCCCAGTATCTGACAATGAGCACCACTACATTACAGGAGGAGGAGCGCTGCTGTTCATACCTAGAGCTTCGGTCACTGCTATTATATAACCTCTATGTAATGTTACAGGTGGGAGTGGCAGGACACCCCAGTATCTGACAATGAGCACCACTACATTACAGGAGGAGGAGCGCTGCTGTTCATACCTACAGTGGTCACTACTATTATATGACCTCTATGTAATGTTACAGGTGGGAGTGGCAGGACACCCCAGTATCTGACAATGAGCACCACTACATTACAGGAGGAGGAGCGCTGCTGGTCATACCTAGAGCTTCGGTCACTGCTATTATATAACCTCTATGTAATGTTACAGGTGGGAGTGGCAGGACACCCCAGTATCTGACAATGAGCACCACTACATTACAGGAGGAGGAGCGCTGCTGTTCATACCTAGAGCTTCGGTCACTGCTATTATATAACCTCTATGTAATGTTACAGGTGGGAGTGGCAGGACACCCCAGTATCTGACAATGAGCACCACTACATTACAGGAGGAGGAGCGCTGCTGTTCATACCTACAGTGGTCACTACTATTATATGACCTCTATGTAATGTTACAGGTGGGAGTGGCAGGACACCCCAGTATCTGACAATGAGCACCACTACATTACAGGAGGAGGAGCGCTGCTGTTCATACCTACAGTGGTCACTACTATTATATGACCTCTATGTAATGTTACAGGTGGGAGTGGCAGGACACCCCAGTATCTGACAATGAGCACCACTACATTACAGGAGGAGGAGCGCTGCTGGTCATACCTAGAGCTTCGGTTAGTGACAGTGGTCGTTACTCTTGTATGGCCTCTAACTCTGCAGGCTCTTCCCGTCTGGACATCAACCTGCAGGTCCAGGCACCCCTCTCTGCTCATGTAACTCCATCCATTCTCACTGCCGCCCTTGGCCAACCTGCTGCTTTCCACTGCTCAAAAGCAGGTATAGTCTTAATATTTTTACTTCTGTTACTTAAGTTGGTACTTCTGTTGTTTAAGGAAAACAATATTCTTTGATGATTAAAAATAGACAATAGACGTTGATAAACAAGTAGTATCCATAGTTATATGTATTTTAGTATTCCACTCTTGAACAGCAGTTCTTCCAATTTGTCATTGAAAGATTGATTTAGCTAGGTATCAAAGCTGCTCGACCGGCTTGAAGTAGGACAACAAGCATACTCTCAACCAGAATGTTGACTCATGTTATCATACAACTTCAAACCAATCATAAATAGCATTTCTCGGTTAATGGGAATGTTTTTTAATATGAATAATCAGTTAGTTTAAAAAGTACAATATACAAAATACAAAAAAAGAAAGGGTTTTACGCAGCTGGACATTTTTCTTTTTAATGAGTGTTATACATGTATATCAAAAATATCTTGTTACATTTGACATCAATGAAATTCGATAGTTTTAATTAGATGGTGATCAATACCCGTGGTAACGTCTCTACAAATTGAAGCTGGTAAAACAAGACTGAGAGCACAGTTGCTAATGGAAATTAAGAATCATTCGAACCGTTGCACTCTAAAAGATATCGAATGGCAGCGAATCAGACTTTGCTAATGTAACAATAGTGTTTCAATTTTAAAGTATTTATTACGTTTATGATTTTATTTTCTACTGAATTAAGAAAGTTGTTAATGTTTCAGAGACATTAATGATCAAATAAAGTCATTTTGATTATTGATTACGATCTTAAGATGGTTGAGATCAACTATAAATATTTACATTTAGTACGTTTAAAAGCCATATATATGTGTTGGTTGTAGCCGTGAATGATCGTCCATAAAGTTTGGTGCTATATTAGTAGCAGCGACATTACTCGTAATCTACTTAATCTAAGTTACTTAATTGTTTTTGAAATATTAAGCAAGAATAACAAATCTTCCATAGAGAACAAATTCAAATAAAATTGTTGTTTTTACCTCAATGTCTTTTTACTGGAATAAAAAAAAATCTAACCCAATTCACCCCGGCCCGAATAGATGAATTCAATTTATTACTCATATCTATTACAGGCCGTAAACAATTGTACTCATACATACACGATATTTCTAACTGTAAAGTTATTGTTAGATCATCTTCGTAATACGTTAGGCCTACTAGCCCCTTTGCGTATTTAGATTACTGATACAATATTAGCGGACCTTCCTTCCACTAAAAAATACCACAAAACTTAGTCATATTTTTGCTAAATTTACAACAGAAAACGTTCCTAAGTAGTTTTTCAAATTACAGGTAGTCCTATCAAAAGCATAGCTTGGGCCAAGGACGGCCAGAGTCTTCAATCAGGAAACCCCTCGGACACCCTAAAGCTGGGGATGGTGACCAAGGAAGACCAGGGCATGTACCAGTGTTTCGTCAACAACGAACACGACTCAGCACAGGCAACAGCTGAGCTTAGACTGGGAGGTGGGTAGTGGGTAGCCTAGCCAATCAACATGTTGGGGTACCCTCTGTACTGAAACACGTTTGGGACGATTGAAAATCATGAGCATGGTCCTCAACCACGAACTTCAGTTTATTTTTTAGCCCAACAATCGGGGGCTTTTATACGTTAAAATAAATAAACACGTTGGAGCTTTTATGTATTAATATCTCCTAAACCTTCAAATTAAGCATCAATCAATCAATTATGGCACGATGTCATTGAAAATGGATGAAACATATTTTGTAATTTACTCCAAAAAATGTAGTTACCTTAAACCATTTGGATATATGTTGAATTAATTTTAAAGGTTTCTTGGGATATATTTCATGTTTACTTTTTCGGCAGCTGATGTAGCCTATGAGCATGAGCGGAGTGTCGGTGGCTCAGTCAGTAGTGTGACTGAATGTGAAAACAAGGCAGTTATGTCGTGGGTTTGCGTCCCACTGTACATGGTGACAGAAAATGTCGAGGTTTAAAGAGACCACTGATTTTTTAAGAAAAAGAATAGTAATATAAAATTAAATTTATTTCCGATGTCCTTAAGGTTAGCCTCTTTAATTTCAGTGCGATTCATTGACATGTTGGACCCTCAACTCATATATACAATATTGAGAGGTTTTGTTGTCTCTGGTATCGACATACGAACAATGTAAATTACTAGAACAGAGAACGAACAAGAGAATCTAAAATTAATAGGAAATATTTATTTTGTAAAAATTTTAATTAGCGTTCTTAGATAATTTTAAACGTTAATATCCTTTAAAATCGTTTTATCCAGATCCAATCTTTCTGGTTCGCAAGCTCATGAATACTATTGCTTTCCCGCACCTGCGAACCAAATTGCTTCAAATTGTAAAATGTTCTAGAAATGTTATCGATTATCTTGAACTTTCATAGTTTGTTGTTCGTTAGAAACTTGCCGAATAATTTTGACGAATGTAATGCTAGGTTTTGTAATGTAAGATCTAGTAGTGATACTAAGATATCCCTTACTTGATAATATGTACTATTAAAGCACAGAATAGCATACTAGAACTAGTTGTAATATTACAAGACATATTTTACCACATGAAATCTTATGAAGACTGTCTACAATAATTCATGTAGAATAAGTGGAAAATCATCATTAATGACCCGCATTGTTGTTCATTATTAACAATTAATTAACTTTAAAATGGCAATTCTGTACTTATAAGCTTATAAATATATACTATTAATTTTTTTTTAATTTCATAAATGACGTGATTGTGAAATTCAAATCTCTAATGAAACTTTATACTGTATCCGTTTAAAAGATCGTAAACACGTATGAAAGATGTTAAATGATGTTCGATGTTGATTTAGACACCCAATCATTTTCAACAATCAGACGAATGACAATAACCACATGGTTTATTTAACACTATCGGCTTCTACAAGTTCTGGGTTATGGAAATAAGTTCGTCAAATTTAAAATTTCTATTTATTTTTAATTTTTTCCCCTTTAACATGCATTTGAAAAATTTTAGTGTAAAATCATTCTACAATTTTACGTTCACAGTTTTCAGATTGATAAGACTCTCCTCCAATGCTAACAAAAGGGTATTTTCTAAAAAGAATGATAACAACATTTTCAATTGTTTTTGATGTGTCATAATTAATTGTGGCAAACATGTGGTTCTTAAATCAAGCAACGAAATATTCAGTGTTCCCTATAAAACCTTTTCGTAATCAACATGATTAGTTATTTAGACTCTATAAATGTATAATGTTTGATACATTATACTTTTATGGGAATTTTTACTCATACAGTAGTGTGTTTTGAAGACATTTGCTTCAAAATATTTCTTAAATTTATTTGCGATTTTCTGTGTATATGAAATTATTCTTATAAGTTTGTGTATTTTCAGTCCTAATGTCTATAGCCCAAAACGTTGTAAATGCCAAAATTCTGTAATATTAGTTTTTATACAAAATCGTGTTGTAAATGCCATATCCTTCGATAGCAACGCAGCTTGTTTCGATAGTGCTGCCACTAGTGGGGAAAAACTGAACTATAAGTAGGAGTGCAAGTCAAAACGTTGTAACGACCATGATACATGATAACGGGCAATGACGTTTCCCAAGAGTGTTTCTTAGTACTTGCATAGCATTTACAACGTTTTGAAATTTCAAAAAAGCTTAGTTCTGATTTTTTACTAAAGCTAACTAGAATAGCTATTTTTAAAACAACAGACATGTTTTTAACATTACAAACTATAAAGTTTAATTATTATTGTCCATCAATAAACATGTTACCATGGAAATCTGTTTTTCTTCCCCCTGTAAAATTTAATTTTAGGCATTTACAACGTTTTGGAAATGCACGCTTCTTGTATTATTATATTGATCTGAAGAGTGGCTTATCAAGTAGCATGTTGCCTGTATTGTAGCGTTGACTTTGTTTTCAGACACTCCCCCACAGATCACCTACCGCTTCATAAGACAGACCATCCAGCCAGGCCCCTTGGTGTCCCTCAAGTGTGTAGCTTCTGGCAATCCAACCCCCAATATCAAGTGGACTCTCGATGGCTTTGCTCTACCCCAGAATGAGAGGCAAGTCACACGAAAACGTACTCATATCGGTAGATGGAGTTATTTTGAATGAAAATAAAGTTCTTACTCCCTCCTACCTTTTGTGGGCTGGAAACTCTGATTGAGCGATACAGTGTCTTGAACTTAACTGATTTAAACTATAAATATCTCAAATTAAATCCTTTATTTCTAGGAGTATTTTAAGACCAATACATATAAAATAACTTAAATAAAAATATAAATACGTATCATTGATTGCAGGTAAGTCCTAAATCAATTATAATTAATTATTGTTAATTCGTGATTCAGCAGTAAGCCTCAGGTACGTCCGATCTTAATAATCAATAATAGCTCAAATGAAAGCTGGTATTTCACAAAAGGTTCTTAGACCAAAACATATAGGATAATGTAATTAGAGCTGCTGAAATACATCTTTAATTGAAGTAAAAATTAAAAAAATCAAACTTATATTTTTTTGTTGAGTAATACATTAGATAAATTAATGATGATGCTTGATGGCAAATCTGTACTAGTATAGCTTTATCTTAAGATCAAAAATATAAAAATAGGTCGACTAGAAGAGTCAAACAAACTCGGAAAAGAACCCCAAATTTAACTCCCATAAGAAATGTACAGGGAGGAAGTTTGTGCATAACTCGAAATATACGTCAGATAAATGAATGCCGATGCTTGAATAAGTATCTGTGGTCAATACCTTTAGCTTAAGCTGGGTTTTCCTAGGCGCGGAGTCGGCGAGCGGAGAGAGGAACGCGGAGAGCGGACTCCACTTGTCTTAGGCAATTTAATGTTACTGTTTTCCTAGAAGCGGAGCGGAATGCCATGTTAATTTCAATTCTGCTCTCCGCGTTCCTCTCTCCGCTAGCCGACTCCGCGCCTAGGAAAACCCGGCTTAAAGGCTAAAATTATGAAAATCGGTCGGGTAAAAGTAAACCCTATTCGGATAAGAAAAAACACTAATCTTTATAGATAAAAAGGTTTACCTGATGGCATAATCTAATCATACGAAACATGTGTTAAAAATTCAACAACTTATTGTTATATTGTTATTATTTTTCTTTGTTTAAATGTTGTAATTTGGCATTTATGTTTAAAGTGTGTGATTTTAATGTTATGTGTTTAATATCTACCATAAATATTAGTGAGTAAAGAGGTGTATGGATTTCATAACCATTATTTTACTAGAGACCGTTGTATCACAAACACAACGCGCTCTGTTGCTAGTTAACATACATAGTAGTTCGAAAATGTAATCTTTTTCTGTACATGTAGAGTTGTCTACTAAAAATCTAAAATCAATCGTCACTTAGGTATAGAGACCGGCTTTTTATACAGACATTATCTTTTATAAACCACGACTAATGATTATGAATATAAGTTGTGTCAATTAAAATAGTACACGACTGATCCTACCTAAATACAGGGTGGCTCAAAAAAGGTACTCATCATTTCATGGCAATTATTTATTATTTATTAGCTGTACAAACTTACTCTACATCTTAAAACTAAGTGATCTCAACACGATTTCGATCATTCCTGGTAGGCCTAGTTGAAAATATAAGACTATCTTGTGAGCACTTAGTTTTAAGATAGAATAAGTTTGTACAGGTAATAAATAATAAGTCCTTGCCATGAAATGATGAGTACCTGTTTTGGGCCACGCTGTATTTAGGTAGGATTAGTCGTGTACTATTTTAATTGACACGACTTATATTCATAACCATTTCTTCGTTTTTTTACGTAAGTACGTACGTAGGTATTTTTAAATTAACCAGCTAACGTCTGGAATACGTAATTAAGTAACCAAAGTAGAGCAGCTAATAAAGGATGGAACAGCAGTATGTACTTGCATCAGATATGAAACGTCGTAATATCTCGCCACCATTAAACTTAACGTGAGCCAGAATTTGAATATTACTACTCTGGGGATGAAGCAAGAATACTAATCACCATCTATAATTTCTTTACTGCCAAATGATAAGATTTAACCATATTTTCCACAGTAATGAAATAAAATCTTTGGAAACCTCTACATGTCTAACTAGTTTAGCATTGATAAATTATATCTAAATACAATTTTATTGATGATAAAAACTCTACAATTTAGTCATTTATTTGTACAATATTGTATTATTTTTGTATTTTTTTCCTTTTAGTGGTTTTACTGATCTAATATGTTCGGTAACAGTGGTGTTACTCTTTATGGCAGCTAACTAGCAAAGAACTTGGTCAATATTAACATTATTTCATACTTGTATTCGACTTACCAAGTTAAGCTTTTTTAAAAAATTCTCAGAAAAATCGTCATTGCGTACATACATTTTAAAGTGGATGTAAAGTTTGTTTCCTGATCGTCAGACAGAGATGACTCGGGGTTAGTAACTATTATTTTTAAGAATTGCCTTTTTAAAAATGTTATCTAACTTGGCAATTGCGTAATAAATTAAACTGGTAATTTAATTAAATACTGGTAATTTTATTCGGCCAAGCAATATCCTTTCGTAGACACATAACTTACAGTAATTTGAAATACGTTTTTTTTTTGTTTTATAAACTGTTGTTAAATTAATGAAAGAAGCAATTGCTTCCTGATTCATTTAACTTTGAGTAAATGCAATGTTTATACCTTATCCGTTCTACCTCCTTTTATTCTAGGTTTCAAAGATATTAAGTTTTTAACTCTTGGAGTGTTATTGTAAACATACTATAAGTTTGTAATTAAATATACTTCTTAGTTTAACATATATTTTGTAATTGTATCACTTAAAGAACTTTATTTCAAGCTGTGTTAATGTTTATGAATATTTTATTTATTTGTGCGTTTTAATTTATCAGAATAATATGTTATACCTACTTAATCTACAGTGGACTTACTCAGAAAATCTCCAAAGTTACGTAATTATCCGTACACAATGTGTCACTAGATAAAAAATTTAGATTGATTGTGTGGAGAGCAGACATTGGCTCTCTTCCAGCCGGCTCGTCGGCCCCTTTACACAATGTCATCAGATCAAACACAAAGTATATCGATCTAATAAGTAGAGTATAAACTAGTTTACTTCCTCAAGATCAACATATACAGACTGTCCCAAAAGTCCCAGACCGGTTTAATATTTTTAAACGACAACAGATAAATCAATAAGATTTTGCACATCAACATCACACCTAAAAATATACTTTTTTAAGGAACTATAAATTTTCTGTCATACCATGGGGACGTCCCGCAAGGAGTCAGAAGGAAATCTTAAATAGAAGCATAGGTTGATCTGCACATCAAATTAAAGACCTTTACTAGCAGAATATAATGCCGTAAATTTGCACTCAAACGGATAACTGAATAAAAAATGCCAGCTGTTCAAAGATTTCTTGAATCCGCCATTTTGAATCTTTGAACGACTGCCATTTTTTACTCAGGCGTTCTTTTGAGCTTGAATTTGCGGCATTGTAATCTACTAGTGAAGACCTTTAATTTGATGTTCATATCGACCTATGCTTACGTTAACAATTTTCTTCCGATTCCTAGGGCTGTACCCCCCGAGGAGTAAGCGTATAATAGCAATGCAAATTAAATGAACCTTTGAACCACTGTCATTCTTGACTCGGTTGTCCGTTTGAGTTCAAATTTAAGGCATTATATTCTGCTAGTAAAGACCTTTAATTTGATGTACATGTCAACCTATGCTTCTATTTAAGATTTCCTTCTGACTCCTTGCGGTACGTCCCCATGATGTGACAGAAAATTTATATTTCCTTAAAAAAGTAGATTTTTAGGTGTGGTGTTGATGTACCAAATCTTATTGATTTATCTGTTGTCGTTTGGAAAATATTAAACCGGTCCGGGACTTTTGGGACAGTCTGTATATTAAATGCACATGCGGAAATTCTTTTGATATAGATAGATTTTGTAACCACTCCGGAATACCTCCAGATCAGATCTGGCTAAAGTCGTACCTCTAAGCTACCGTCTTGGGTTCTGTTGAGTGTGTTGTTGATATCCCAACAAAAATACTATTGGCGTAGACTTGGACGGTCTTAATACCACAGTAAGGCATGATGATGCATTATGAATAGTTGTTCGCGTTGATGGCTTTCTTTTTTCTGCAATTTTGATGATATGCTCAAACACACGTTACAGCTATAAGATGCTCCAGCCTGGGAATCCTAGAAATGCCACACTCGGGAGCAAGTTTAAAAGTTAACAACACGAAAATGGGTTGAAACGTAACACTCAAATATATACAGGTGCGTCATTCCATAGGGCGAGAAAAATAATAGCTTTTTTTCATAGGTCCAGATCCATTTTACATTGATGTTTGCACACTCATAAACGTTTTAATTTTGACAGATATTCAATACCTCATATCAGTGCGGTGGTCGATTGCTTGACATTTTCAGTAGCATGTTAAGTAAAATGGAATGTTGTTTCAGAAGGGTGTGTGATTGGCAGGATGTTTTGTGTAGCTTTGTAACTGTCAAACACCAGAAGATTAATTTGTCAGAATTATCAATTGCCTATTGACAAAGGCGGTTTACCCAAAATCAAACCTTGACAAAAACGCCTAGACTTTTGTTTGGAATTGATCAAGCAAACTTCGGATTATACAACTTTATCCCTAAATGAAGTAGTTTTTTATGACATTGATCGTGTATATAATCATGTAACTTTAAATCAGGGTAATGTGGAAGTTTACCACAGTTTTATACTTTTGGTGGCTAAGTTTAGGAATTAAACTAACGATTATCTTACAGAAACACTTGATTCTTGAAGTTGTGTAAAGAATTCCAAGTACTAGACAGTTGAGTATCCTGGAAGAATTTTAAACATTGAGTCCAAATGAAAACACCTATTCGGAGAGGCTCGAAAGTTCGACTTCCCTAGCGGCACCCTGTCTACCAAAGACGTCACAGTACGGTTACTTACAAACTGCCTCTAGGTGGAGCACACAGAAATACTTCAAACGTCATCCATCTGTAGATCAGCACAACAAGTCATTGTTTTTAAATTTAGAAAAACCAGCCTCTACTAGAACAACAATGTCAAGCACTTCCTCTTGAGAATTTTATCTCTCCTATTATTTTAATAGAGATCAACTTTAACCATATGTTTTTGTAGGTTTGTGATTGGACAGTACGTGCCTAGCCATGGTGATGTGATCAGTCATGTTAACATCACATCAGTGAAGGTAGAGGACGGCGGAACCTACAAGTGTACGGCCACCAACAGAGTAGGGGAGGCTTCTCATAGTGCTGAACTATACGTTTACGGTAATGTTTCTTTAATGATACGAGAATGACATAACCAATAAATTCAGTTCGGCTACTATCATGGAATAAACTTAGAATTGTCTTCCTTTTTGAAGAGTTCTTGACTGTGATACAGGTTTTAGATCATACTAAAACAGTAATGCCCGTAAACCATTGCTGTTTTAAGTTACAAGAATTAGTATCAACATTAGATTTAATGAAAGTACAATTTTGATAAGTAACGTTTTAATTTTTCGTTTGCAAAATATACATAATGACTATTCAAAATTGAGTCAATGGCAATATTAGTTTTTGGTGCAAGCTTTAACGTATTTATCTAAAAATAGTGCTTGAAGCAATACTGGTATTTATCTGAAAATTTTGCTTGAAGCAAAACTAGTTGAACCATAAATAGCAGCTATTTTACATAAATTGTTTTTCAACTATCTAAATGTCTACATTTGTGGCTAGTACAATGTAGCCTACTGAGCTTCAATACCCTAAAGCCTCAGTTATTTAAGGTATGGGCATTTTAGATTATTACAGGACTTCTAATTTACATATTAAAACTATCAACAATTTGATTATATTTATTCATGTGCAATTTATTGTTTGGTTATTCGAGCTGTTGTTGACAGGTCTACCCCAAGTGAGGCCGATGGGAGAGGTGTCTGCAGTTGCTGGAGAAGCCCTCATCATTTCTTGTCCCGTCGCTGGATACCCCATACACACCATCAAATGGTTTAGAGGTAAAGACTTAACAAATACGGTTCATATATACTTATTGACTAATCAAATAATCTGGCTGATATCTGTCTCCACAATCATTCAACTAATATATTATGAGACTTTTTATTCAATGGCGATTTGTTTTGGAACCTTGGAATACATCCATATTATGAAACAGTTCCGAGTTGGTATCTAATAGTTGGAAAAGATTTACAGTTACGTTAGAATCTTATACTTTTCAACAATTCATCGATTAAATATTTCTTTATGGGTACGTTAAAATAACGTTGGTTACAAATATTCAATTAAAACGGTCTTTTGTTGTCTTCAAAATGGACATAATATAAGTCATATATATAAAACAATGTTGTGTACAGGTTTATTTCGATTAGACTTCTGACATTTAGCGTCTTTAAAATAGATCGATAATCAGTAAAGTATAACTTAAAAGTGTTGTTAGACTCCTTTGGCACAAATGGGTGGTAATAAAAACGCATAAATCGCATGAAAGAGCTTTTGTTTTAACTGCATGTCGCCTTTGGAACAACCTCCCTCATTTCAGAAAATTGCTTGATGTACAAGCAAGGGGTTCAAGGGTTTGTGAAGGCATTCAAAACATTGTACTTTGATTGCATTGTCCCAGTTGGTGCGATCTTTAATAGTAGTTTTTAATCCATATGAATGATGTTTGCTCTCCCTTGATTGTTGATAGGTTGTATGATACAGCAAGCACTAAAATTTAAGTATTTTTGTTAAATCTCAAGTCACATATTCTTCCTTTGTAGAATTGTATTTAAAATAATTTGTTTTTCTGTTTATAATCAGGTCATCTGCCTAGAGGCAAGGTTAGAACCTTGCCTGTATATTGGGGGATATTATTTATTAATACATTTACTGAAAAATTTACAATTGATAATTATAACGTTAATTCAATCAAACTAACTATATAGAACATGGTATTTATAAAAATAGCGTTCTCTCGTACTTCACAGAATCAAATTATTCACATTAAAAACTAAGGATTATATTTACTTTCAAAAACAGAAACAGTTTTTTTCAAGTATTAACAATCACACTATTTTCTTCAAAGCTGCAATATTTAAGTATTTTAAACAACTTGTTTCGTTGGATGAACAAAGAACCTGTAGTAGATAAAAACAAACACCAAACAGTTTGCTAAGTAGAGCCAATTTTAGTTTGGGCTTTGACAGGATACAGGGTGTATTTATGGTCTAGCTCGTGGAGCATTACAGCGCTTGGATGTTCATCTCATAAATATGCATTGGGCCCAATTTACAGGGAACGGGCTAAACAATCGATACAGCAGCGCTGCTTTTACCTCAGTAGCAGTAGCATACTGTATATTGTATAGTGTATACTGTGCAGTAGACTGTTGTTATCCTAAGGTCTGCGAACACCCTACACACGTTGGTCGATACAACATTTACATCTCAATGTCCTGAGTGTTATTGCATTCCTCGTGTCACACCCTCCCACTCTATTTTATGTCATAGAGGTCGAGAGAATCATAAGCCTCGACCTCACACATGGCTTCTTCCATACAAAGTATAAATGCTATTTCAAGGTACCATAGTTAAACAGACACTTCCAGTTATAAACAGGATTGTTTTGCCTGCAGTTGTTTAGTTTCGGTTAAAGGAATTGTAAAATATTTTAGAGGGAGCAATTTAAGCACCCCACACTTCTGTTGATATTCCTGAAAACAAACCTACCCCTCTCACGTGGAAGTCCGAAACGCATCTGCTAGCATCACACCCAAGGTTTACCGGAATCATTTGGAGTAAAAATTTGAGTCGGTGAAGTGCAAGAAAAGAATTTTGAAATGAACAAAAATTAGTTATTGTTTGTCTTTGCAATTTAAGTGTCATTGCAAATTGTGATTTGGTAGGTCTTTGGCTCAATCTGTAGGGCCACGGACTTTAGGTCCAAGGCAGAGATGCCGTGGGTTTCTGACCCTACTGTTTATCAGTACAGTACAACCATGTACTGAACCGGCTCACCCCTAGCTTTGATGGATATGGCCAGAAGCCTATGTGGACGGGTAATGCAAGGTCTAAAAAGGTTACCAACCTAAATTTAAAAAGTAAACATATTTCAATGAAAACAGAAGTGCAACAACAGTTTTATTATGATAAAGCCCGAAACATAGTAACTGAAATATTTTAATGTATTCTGATTACATTAGGTTCTGTTAATTGATATTGTTTTACGAATGGAAAATATCGTTATTGTAAAATGAGCATAATTTATTTTTGAATCTGAAATTATTGCTACTTATGAACAACAATATGGTTTTTACAAAATTTATTTTACAAACCACTTATGGCCAATATCGTTTACTAATGACAAATACCTGTAGTTAAATTACCAAAAAGTAATGTTTATAAACACCGATGGTAAAGTTCCGTTAAAAAAAAAAACCAATTTGAAACAATGTATGTAATCGTGCCAGATTCGCACTAAATTTGTTCGTTAATTTATTCTAATGTAAATCCAAACAGTGATTTATTAAAGCACCATTTACTCACGTTTTAGAGTAGTTTAACATTGAAAGCGTATTACGTGAAGTAAATTGACTTAAGTTCTTTGAATGTGGGTATTGATTGGAATGGTGAAATTATTTGTTTTATTGTGATAATGTGCATCAGTATGTGCATATACAACATATCATATTGTTGTGATATTTGAGTAATATTACTAAGCCACTGCAAATCTTCCCTGGGTTTTACTAATTATATATGCAACCTACTTAGTTGAGTTTCAAACTGAACTGTCAAACAGTTATTCAGGTCGTGCACAGTAAATGATGTGGATATCATAGTTTAAAAATTAGTCATGAAAAGGCCTACGTATACAAATAATAAAGAACGCCACTAGTAACTTACAAAGAGGGGAACTCGGAGTATGTCTATTGGAAAACTTTATCCTTCACAAAGAAGACAGAGTTATTATTTTAACTAACCTAATCCCAATTTTTAGTCAAGTAGTCCATTAGCTCGGGATGATCCAAAACCAGCTTATTCACTATATACTATTTTATAAATGGACTTTAAAAATCATAACCAGGGCATTTGTATATTTTTATTAATTACACTTATCAACTTATTTTTTCATTTTAGTGCAATTTTACCATATTCAAGATCAGTTTCTAACACTTCTAATTGGTGAAGATAATGTTTTTTTTTTCATTGGAATGTAATATTACTAAAGGTGTTATAATATTATGCCTTACCGTCGTTGAAAGAATCATTTTTAGTAAAATAACATCAGTATTGTCATACATTAAAATTAATTTAAAATTGTATATAGTCTACACAACAGTAAACGGAACGGGTGTCAAAAAATAACTCCCTATGTTATAGGGTGACCAAAAATACATGTTCATTGTTCGATATATTGCAAGAGAATATCCTCAAGAACTAGATTACCTAGTAGACGTCAATATGTCCTATTAGCTTTTCTAGCTTCAAAAGAATAGGGATTTGTTTGCTTTCTTACTTAGTACTTAAATAAATTATTACATCTATACAGACAACTACGTCAACAGACCTCCTACAAAGAAAATAAAACCTGCAAACTAACAAATGAACGTAAAGGATTGTCAAATTAAAATGATTTTGGCATTGGCATTTTTAAATGACAATTCCTAATCTACAATTTTTACCGTTGATTAAAATTTTAATAGTTTAAAATACATTGTCTAATTTATACATCAACCGCCCTCCTGAGTAACTTAAATTACAAAGTTCAATTTTAACAATTATTTTCTCCCTTCATACACAAACTAAGACAGAATTTAAGCTCGTAAATATACATACTGGGATAATCCTTACTCTCTTCCTGTGTCTAAAATTTAGTTTGAAAACTGTGAATCTTATCTATACGTTCCCATAGAATTTTTATTGTGCTCAATATCTACTTTGAAAATCTACTGTGAAAATACCCCTATAAGCCAATGACATATTTCAGGCGATAGATCTCTGCCTCTGACCAGGCGACACGTCGTTTTCCCCAATGGGACTTTGATTGTGGAGAAGGTGCAGGCCGGAGCAGATGGTGATGGAGGCGCTTACCGTTGCACTGCCTCCGACAAGCTAGGGCGCTCTGCAAGTGGCTCTGTCCACGTCAAAGTCATGGGTAAACATGCTGACCAAAGCTACAATACTCATGCTTAAAAACTTTTGAAGTTTATCATAGCTGGTTGTGACAGAAGCAATTAGCTCGGTCTAAAACTCTGTGATTTAAATTTTATTTGCCATAGCTAAGAATAACACTTACAGTATAATTGTAAAACTTTAATCCCATTCAATACCTTATACTGTAATATTAATATCGTCAAAAGCTCAAAAGTGTCTGCAATTTTGGGATAGGCTACCACTTTTCAAGCTAGAAGTTTAATATAATACAGGGTGATAATTAAGTCTGGAACCTATTTTTAATTTTTTTTACCACAATAGAAAACAATACCTAATTTTACTCGTGCTTACTGGTTTTAAAACTTTCATCCCATTCAATACCTTACTCTGTAATATTTATATCGTCAACAGTTCAAAAATGTCTGCAATTTTGTGATAGGGTACCACTTTTCAAGTTAAAAGTTTAAAATAATACGGGGTGACAATTAAGTCTGGAACCTCTTTTCAATTGTTTTTACCACAATAGAAAAATACCCCTGCCGCAGCAAACCTGCCGTCTAAGCGAATTTCCATTTGGCCGAATTGATTTTCAATTGATCTATTTAAATAACATTAGGTTTAACGAGTACCTAGGTTTGCTGCTACAAGGAAACTAATAAAGTAGTGTGTTTTTAGTAAAATATTGATAGCTTACTATAAAATAAATAAATTTGCCAAGTTTGATCAAAATATATCCATAAACAAGCAAACTACAACATTTTACAATATTCTCCATAAGAATAACATGGGAATTTTAAATTTACCATTTTTTTAGTTTTCTCCGTAACCAATAACCGTACAAAAACACTTTGATATACTGAATTGTTTGTTTTTTTAAGCTCTTTAAGAAGGTTTAGAGAAAAATTGGGAAATTTTGTGTTTTGAGGGTAAAAAGTGAGAAAAACCAATTTTTACCCCATAAAACCCCCCATAAAACCCTGTTCCCATGGTCCGATCATGCTGGATCGCGAACTCATTCAAGTTTATCCCGCCTTACACCTTCAAACCAAATTTCATCAAAATCGGATAAAAATTACTCAAGTTATCGTGTTCACGGACACATATATATATATAAATCTATATATATATATATCTATATATATATATATACATATATAAAAATTTGAACGAATGGTGTTTTTGGCCTCTGGGGACATTAAAATGAAAAAGTAAATCGGTCCCGGGCCTAAGTCTTACCATGAGACCTACGGTAATAGCTACTTCCCTATAGGGAAATTCGCTAAAATACCTAAGTTTACACGTGCTTACTGGTGATAGTAACGCTCACATCTGCCCAATCACCGACCCGATAACCACTTTGGGGGATGGTCCACAAGGAGTCAGACAATTTCTTAAATAGCATCATAGGTCGGGTTTGGTATCAAATTAAAGGTCTCCTTTAGTAGAATACAATGCCACAAATCTGAAGTATGGTGGTTTAAAAATTTAAAAAAGTTCCAGACTTAATTGTCACCCTGTATATGGGTACTTAGGTATTAGTTTTTGTAAGATTGTCATGGCATTTGTAAGTTTTAACTGGTTATGTGGTATGTGAGTTATTAGTAATTGTAGGGATGAATAACAAAAGAACAGGTTATGTATTTATATGTATTGTCCACAACTTAAAAGAATGGCTTTTAAATGGGTATTTTTTTGTTAGTTTTTTTTTTATAGTATACCACTTTAATTTTAGATATTGAGATTAACTATAAACAGCCTTAGAAAAGGTGAGTTTCAAATTGCTTATAATTAAAATTGTTATAATTTTTTTGGAAAACTTTTGATTTATAATAAAATAGATAGCATGCAACACATTTTATTCACTGTAATGGTTATGTCTGAGTGATTCTTTTCATTTGTGGTTATTTTGCAGTACCACCTAAGATAACACCTTTTAGCTTTCGGTCGGATTTACTACTAGGAGAACGAATAGGAGTACAGTGTGTTGTCAGCAAGGGAGACCCTCCTCTTACGATCCAGTGGCTCAAGGATGGTGTGGAGCTCGCCCTGTCGGAGACGAGCAGTCTTTTAGTCCGAGAGCTCGATCAGTTCACGAGCATTTTGAGTATCAATGATCTCGCTCGCCATCATGAGGGGAACTACACTTGCTTGGCTAGTAATACTGTGGCCCGAGCACATCACACAGCAACTCTCTCTGTCAACGGTACACACTCTTATATATGATTCTATCTGACCGATCCTACCACATCGACAATTTAAATTAACTGTCATAACTTGTAGACCTAGTTTCTGTCGAAGTCGGTGGGTATCGGTTTCATGATGTAATGTTCTGTGTGTAGAAGTAGAATTTATGTTACAGTTCCTCCAGCAATCACGCCTTTCTCCTTCGGTGAACTGTCACTGGGAGAAAGGGTGCGAGTGACTTGTAGCGTAAAGCGAGGTGATCCTCCCGTCACGATAAATTGGTTCAAGGACAACAAGCCCCTGGACTCTGAGAGTTTTCCTGACTCCGATATATCAATTATCAGAGACTTGGAAGATTTTTCAAGTGTTCTCGCAATCCCCCACGTTGACTCTAGACATAGTGGAAACTACACATGCATGGCCAGCAACCCGGCGAAGCGGGCCCTCTATACAGCGACTCTCCTAGTAACCGGTAAACGTTCCTTACAGCCACCACGTCTTGCTTGCCACAAGCTTCCAGCTTCACTGCCACTATCAACCATTACCCCTCATCACTTTTACATCCCTATTACTAATTTATAGGCGACTTTATTTCAAAAGTCTGATATACGTACAGTTAAAACCCACAGTCTTGATACGCGAATGGGTAATAAAATATGCTTAGTATGTATTAACAACTTATAGAATGAAATAATTAATTATTCCTTTAGTTTTTGTAATGCTTAGAGCTTTTTCTGTAAAAAAAAACTTTTAAAATATCCTCACGTTATTTACTTACCTTACGATTTATTTAGATTGTTTGTACCATAGGTTTAAACTAAACATGTTTGTAACAATAAACGTAAGTCTAAAACGAAGGCTTTTAATTCACGGTAATTTTTAACTGGAAAGTTTTCCAGAAAAATTGTTTGACAGTGTATTTCAAACGTAAAGCTAATAACTAAACCTTATAAAAATATATAGTACTTAAATTTGGCAGTATTTCAACATTCATTTTTATCCACCACACCTCATTGTTATTAGCTTAACTAATGACTGGTTTAAATTTCTGACCATCGAGAGGAATTAATAAAATACTGTAGTTACATTAGGTCAAGTATTATCACATGGCGACAAAACCTAGAATGTAACAGTGGAACAAAAATTCAAATTTTGATTATACAAAACTTGAAATGAATAAGCATTAATTAAACACCTTTAAAATCCATGAATGTATATAGTGAATTCCCCTTTAGTAATTCATTCAATATAGTTCCCTGCCTTCGATTTAGGTGTATCCAAGCCTTTGCCGGTTTGTATTTTGAGACTGGAAGGTATTCAAGTCATATGAGCATAAAGCTCTAAACAGATTTTTTAAAGTTGTAAAATCGCTTAATTCGCTAAAGAACTAAAATATTGAGTCCCTTTAGGGTGGTAGGGTGGTGGCTTGTAAGGGATGTGACTATGTAGCTGTTGTAGTGTCCTAGCATGGTACTTGTTGAGCTTGGAGCTGTAATATCGCCGCCTTGGTGACTGCGGCTGACACGTTGCTACCTTCAGCGTCAGGTAACTGCTTCTTCTTCGCATTCGCTTTCTATTTCTACTTCATCTTTACTTCTCACTAAGCACCTTTCGACAAAATGCATTTTGATTTTGAGTCGTGGCAATAAACGTAATGTGTAGGTAAATAGTTGAACACCTGTTGATATAGGTGTAATATTATACCGTGCCCCATTCTGGCAGGCCTTTTATTGAGTAGAATAAACGGTTTCAAATTGCACGGAAATATTGTTAGCTTTGACAGAGGGCTAAAACATCTATTGACAATAATGTAATAAATATAAAAGGGTTTCATTATTTGTGTAAGGTATGTTATTCATGCAAATTTTCAATTGTGCAACAAATTAAGCAAAAAATCCCTTCTCGAACGAATAATTCAAATATAAATACGGCAATTTAGAAAAGTATTTGTAGGATTAAGCCAAAGCCCCAATTTATTTAATCCTCTGTGAAATAAATCCTGAAACATGTGAAATATCGAATTCTCTTTTCAAATAGAATCATGTCTGTTTGTTGACTTCTTTTTTCGATATTTGCATTACGTATAAAAATATTCATTGTTGAAAATGTGAAGATATAAATTTGTTCAGTAACATTTCTATTCAAAAAATTAAGAAACATCGCTAAAATATTTATTCTGTCTGTTATCCGCTTAGACAACCGTGTAAAGGGTGAATGTGTTATTATTCGGCAATATTTGTATGAACCAAACATTAGGTTATTCACTTCTCTCTACTAATGTTTCCTATTTTCTACTGAAGATTGTGAGATGCAGGTAATATTTCAGGCACAGTTTTTTAAAAGAACCCATTCAATAGCCCTAAAATCAATGTAACCATACAATACAATAATGAACTCGTCTTCAAACTGAGAGTAGTTGACAATGTTATTTTTAAATGAAAGTCCAAGCCCTTGCATATATTTTTTCACCAACGCTAGGATAAAAACTACTGACTGCATGGTTATGCTAGAAATAACATTATCGATATTTTACTATTTTAATAGTCAAAAATTAAAGATCGTTGAAGGCGAAATACGATGTTAATAACTGCAAACTACAAATGTCGCAGTTATCATATAGCAGATGACTCTATAAATTTGCACGAGTTTTAGCTCGATAAACTACAGCTTCGTGCCAGCGTGCTTATTTGCTTATTTTTAGACAATATGATTTACATTGCATACTCGTTTAGTACTTTGAATTAAAACAAAAAGCTGATGATGCTTTTAGTAAGTAGAAAACCGCTTCTAAAAACAGAATTATCTTTATTTCATTGTATTAGAAAGCGTGGTTATCAAAACATTATAATGTACAATTAAACATTCCATTAACTAACTTTACACCTATAACAATATTATACGTGATGAAATGATGAATAATAAATAGCAAAAACACTAGGTAATAATAATTGTAATAATTATTACAATTTCTATAACTTTAATAATATTAATAATATATTTTAAATTGTTAATAATAATCACATGATAATTTTAAATGTAAATAGCATACAAAATATTAAAAGTATACAAACCAAAACATTATTTTTATAATAAAAATCAGAGTAGCATTACCTCATTTAATAGTTAGTATGACTATTATGCATTATGACTGACTATCTATGTACATCATAAGCGTTTTTAGCTACTTTTATTATGTTCAAATGATTATGTTTGCTTATCCAACACACTTTTATGGTATTCTAAACGAAAACTATAACAACTTAGCTACAATTTCTTATAAATAAATGGCTGACACAGTTCAATTTCAAGTTTAGTATTTAAAATGTCAAAAAGTTACTTTGTATTATTTTATTAGATGTTTTAACTTGTCCTAACAATATTTTTGTTTTAAATCAATATGAAAATCATATATTTATATTTGAAATATAAAATATTATAAATTTAAATAACAATAAGACTAATAGTCAGAATAGTACATTTAATGTACCAAACTAGTATTCAGGATACAGCGAAATAGGTATTGAAAACTCCTCACCCAAAATGAATAGCATACGAAATATATTTAAAAGGGTTTTAAATCAAGAAACAGAAAATTAATATTAACATTGTACTGATCACAGCCAAACGTATTTCCTTTAATTGAGTTACTTCTTTGACAGCATAACTTTGATTAGACTGAACTTCTTGATGTTACAAGTTTATTGAGATCTCTAATTTGAATATATCGATCTTCTTTGGCACTTTAAAACAATATATTATGTAATGTAGCAATATTACGGCAACTTATGTATTAAACAACAAGAAATATGATTCATATCGCCATATTATTTATTATTTCTGTAGCAAACTGCAATGAGTATTAAATTGAGTTTAAATTTCAACATTAAAAAACTTTCGTCCTCCAAAGAATTTTCTCGAGTAGGCCTAAATTAATATCATTATAATTTATTTCCTTAATTTGGCGGGTTTTATTAACTTTTGTTTAAGAGAAATGCCCTGTCCTAGGGCTGTGGTTTGGTTTTTAGAATTGTTTTGCAGATTGTCAAAAGCTTCAAACATTCCTCGATATACGAATGAGAAATTTAAACAATAACATATCAAATATTTAAAAGATAATTTTGTAAGGACTTAGTCCCTAGTATTTAGGTTACCCAACTATCTGCTATTGATGCTTAATAGCCAAATATTCTTCATATTATTAGATTTATCCTTCTCTAAACAAGTCTAAGTCTAATCCTAAACCATCGGTATTTTTTATGTGGTTGAAACTAAACCATTCAACGTAAGTCTAAAGGAAACAATCTATTATTTTCACTTCTTTACTTGGATAACAACTGCGCGGCTGGGAACACACCACGTGATTTTATCGGATGCGATTGTAAAGTGTATCGTTTGGAAGTAGAAAACATTGAATCTTGTGCGACTGGTCACATAAGTATATACAAATTTGCACACATCACCTTCACTGCAGCATGTCGCGATACTGCCTTGTGAAGTCTGGTCTCAATGAGCGGCCCTTCCCTCGACCGCATGCAATTCTACTCATTATCACATTAGTTTTATATTCAATAAGTAAAGTTTTCAATTATTGTAATTTGTTTACTTCAATTTCTATATACTATGCGATTTGGTTTGGGTTATCAATGAAATATTTTAAACCTTTTTTCATAAAGTTTTGCGTTAAAAAAGTGGGGATCAAATTAGTTTTACTTTTTAACTTTAATTTATATTTATTGTGTGATTATTTAAGCGGTAATATTGAATATTATGAATTTTTCACAAACTCTATATTTATGTGTAAATTTCTATTTAAAATCAAATTTTACATCAATTAGTTTTTGTGGAGTTATTGCAGAGCATTATTGCTGATATTTAAGCTTTTATACTTTCAAGAAGTTCGTCAATTCATTTTACTGAGATATTTTCTAAAGTATTTTCAAATCCTTTCAAAATTCTTCTTAGCTTGACGATTTCTTATAAAAGGATTAACCAAATTTTTTAATTTGCTTTTCTTCGTAACCCCCCGGAAGCCTGTAGGGCACATAAATGTGTACCTCCGACAAGGACATGGTAAACGAGTCATAAGATGGTGGTAGAATCACGTGATATCCTCGCGCAGCGTGACAACCCCCTAATTTTGAAATGAAATTGCATCCGATAAAATCACTTATCGTGTTCTCAGGTTAACGATTAACCTTTTCTATGAACAAATCTCAACCTTTCTCTAATGTGTACTCTAATGCTATATTACATGTGTAAGTGTTGTACCGGTCTTTCACTCCATTTGCCATGGCCGAGGCCCCGCTCCATCAGGACAGTTTGCGTGGCCTGGTGTTTATGGACAGCTTTTCTTCTTGCAGCATAACGTATGTGTGTGTGTGTTTGAGAGTGAGTCTGTGTGCGTGGATCTGGTTTGGTTTGAGACACTTGCTGTGGAATGATACTGCTCCACCTTGACAAGATGCAGCCGAATTTGTTTTATTTTGTTCATTATGTTGTTCAATTGTTCAATAGTTTTAAGTGTTGACCATACTTTCTTTAAATATTATATTCGTTAATATAAATAATGTGAAAAATAATCATTTGTTAATCCATCCAATAACTTGTTCAATTGGTATTTTTTAGAGATATTTGGCATATCAAAGGTTGAATAAATCTTAATGCATTTGTACATGTTGTTTTTACAGCCATATACTGTACTGTTAGGTACGATAAATAATAATATTGAAAACAATATTAATTTTCTTTTTTAAGGACTCAATTATCTTCTCTCTATTAAAAAAAAATATTATCAGCAATCGTTGACATGAGCTGAAACGTTGGAGTATCACAGAATCCTTTCTACTATTCAGAATTATTGGTAAATATTCAAGTCGGTTCTTAGCTTTGTTTTGATTCCCTGCTCTTAATTTCCTTTTGTCCCATGATCAGCGTGTGGATTTTCGGGGGAATATGAAAAAATACACCAAGTTACAGCCAATTCTTGAAAAAGTACATTTTTATTTGATCGATGTTTTCTCTGTGCATTTATCTTAATTCGAAAATGCAATAATTAGAAATGTGATATGGGTTTCTTGAAAGAAATTGAAAAGAGATTTAATATTATTTTAATAACCATATTTTTACGTTGTAAACCCTTCGAGATCTCCCTAAATATATAAAATATGATTAATCAATGTCTATAACAGATTGTGATGCTATTTTGGTACACTTTAACTAAACCAATTAGTTCTTCCCTTGTAATATTGTTTAACGATTTGTTGAAACCAAGCTAACCCAAATACTAAAGCTAATGGTAATTGCAGTGCCTCCAACATGGGTGGTAGAGCCTCAAAACAAAGCAGCTAAGCTGGGCCAGGTGGCAGTACTGGACTGTAAGGTGGAGGGGTTTCCACAACCAACAGTCGTATGGAAGAAGGTATCAGGTATGGCTTACAGAACTAAACAACAAATCCCAATTGAGGTTAGGTATTTTAAAAAATGTTTTTTTTTCAAGAGGTTAAAGGCCCCTTTTAATTTGCGTTTGTTCGGTCAAAGACCTCTGGGAAGTGAGTGGAACGTATGAAGCAAAGCAAGGGATGAGATGGTACAGAAGTATGGCACAGAATAAGCATGATCTGCACCGAGCCGGGACGTGAACTTACAAAATCATACACTAAATTGGCTTCAGAGTCCGTCGTTCCACGGAGTCACCGATTCATTCACCAATTCTCTTACCATGCGCGGAAATATATGACCTGGGAACACTCAATAGTTTGACACGGTGGTGTAGGAAAGGTTTTGGCGTTGTTGAATATAGGATTTTTAGTTATCAATCACCAACATTTAGTTTTAATTTGTCTACAAAAAGGATTTCATCGCACTTGATAAGGTAGGTTATGTTAACAGACGAATAACGGCTTGTTAGTTTTGTTAACTGAATAGAATAATTAGGCGTCCTACAACAGCTAGTTGTATAAACACCGATATTGCATCAATATCGGTTGCAATGTTTTTATTATTGCCATTAAAGTCATGGGCAAGTGTCTCATAACTTCCTTAAGGAATAGTCAAATGATTATTCCTTAACTTATTACAAAATCCCAATTCGTGTTTCTGTCTTTTTCTTGTAGCTCTATTTCTCCTTCTGTTCTTATTCTTTTTACTTTTAAAAATTTTTTCCGATTTTGTACAATATTTTTCATTATTCCTTGTTTCTATTTACTTTCAGGGTTTGGTGTCATATGTTGCTTGGATTTAGGAATGGGAGGGTTTGCATTTGTTAGACAAACAGGGCTGTAAGTAGGAGAGAGACTAGTCTATATTTGTAGAATTAATTAGACCGTTTCGAATGATAACCCTGGTCAGAATTTAAGAAAATAATTTTAGTGTGTATCGGAGTGTATTTGTGTGAATCCTTCAGCGTATAGTTACAATTATTTACGTCAACATTTGCTAGCTATCTGTATAGTTTCTATGTTCACCAGATAATAGTAACTGGGTTGATTTACCTTATGATATTTTCCAGGTGAGACACTAGGCCACTACCGTGACATCACCACAGGGGTTCTCTCCAACGGTTCTCTGGTCATCGACAACGTACGGCAAGAGGAGCAAGGACAATATCTATGTGAAGCCAGCAACGGGATAGGGGAGGGACTTAGTTCTGTTGTCACTCTAACAGTTAACGGTAATTATTAATTATGTAAAACGATTTATATTGTAAGGTACAACACAAACTGTGAATAACAGAGCCGTCATTTACATCTAAAGCCTCCAAGCGGTGAAAAATACCCGATTGTGGTTCAAAGCTTTGGATGTATATCGGTCGCGCGCTGAGAGATGGTTGTATCGTCTTTGACAATGAATAATCAACTCATCCCACTACTATTGCTGACTAGGCTTGATCAAGTATTCATATTCAAATGCAACGTTGCAGCGTCTTGTGGTTACATACAGATAACAACTTCATTTGTAGAGCATCTAAAATATTATTCACAAATTTACATTGTGTTGTAGTTAAACGAGTACTCTCCGTACATTTAGTTTATATCAATCTTTTACTAACATTTTAGCGTAATCCAATTAAATCCTAGAATATTTAAAAATGCTTTCAAAAATAATGTGTTAAAAATACACTAGGCTTGTTTTCAATCAAGCTAGATACCAGTATAAAAATATTGTAAATCAAAATGTTGCCTGTATTTCTATAATTGTGAAAAATGTGTTATTAAAAATCATAAAATTTTATTAACTTAGGTCAAGTGATATATACACGGTATTTCCGAATTGCCTGGATATGATTTGTGGACTTATTCCCTGGGCTGAGACAAACATAAGACACCCCATAAGAATGGGTCTAAAGTGCCTAGATTTCTGTCTGTCGATCTGTTTGTGATTTTTATAATTTGTTTAATATCTTAAACATTTTTCAAGATGGAGATTTTAAATTTGGTGTGAATGTGTAGTTCTTAAAGTAAAAAGAACTCTGAAAGTTTCGTTCCAATATCTCAAGCCATTTCAATATGGCGGCCATTTAAAATCTTTAATGCCAAATTTCATGAAAACCGTAAATATTGAGAAAATCTTTTTCCGTATCAAAAGGATAGAAAACCTTAATACAAATCAAATGAGACCTTGTTTGTAAAAATCGGATGAAAAACAACTGAGTTATGAGTTTTTTCTACATTCGTATACAGAATTTAATAGGACTACCATAATTGAGTATGTATTTCACCAGTTTTAATTACATAATCATATATTTTTTCGTCTAGGAACCATTAGTGAAGGTGATTTTGTTAATAGCAAAAAGTTGTTGGTATAATCATAGTTGTCTTTATATTCTAATTACTTGCTTAATATTCTAATTACTAACTTGAATGTCTGAAGTAAACTTCAGCTATAGTGGGTGATTACAGAGTAAACGATGGGTTCTGACAGTATTAATGATTCGTAAACATATGGATTGCTGTTTTTTATATTCATGTTAAGTGCCAATCAAGTAAACTGTTCACACAACTTCATTACTTAAGATTACAAACGGAAATAATTATTTATTTGTCAGATCAAACAAAGCTAATTTTCATTAATAAGTTCATACAGAATGTAAAAAAAAGTATTAAATGTGGTTGATCTTATCGATATAAGATCAAAAAAGTAGTAACTATACTATTACCACAAAAGTAATCAACCAACCATGCATATCTAAATAATAAATCCATCAACACCATTACAATACTGATGTCTTCTTGTGGTTTTTTTAGCTCCAGTACATTTCAAGGTGAGGTCCAAGAAGGAGTTGGTTCGCAGAGGAGGCACAGCGGTGGTACAATGCCTCGCTCATGGAGACCTTCCGATCAACCTCTCCTGGAGGAAGGAGGGTAGCTTCATCGACCTTGGAGGAAGAATAAGGTTAGAGTAAAAAAAGTGCCAGAGTAAGTTGTAGATAAAAAACAGTGCTGTAATCTGAGTTAAAAAATATAACCCAACGCAGAAAGAATTTATTAGGTAATACCAAAGATTAAATACTCTCACTTATAGGTTTATAATCATTATGGACCAACTAAACACAGTTTTAGGCATGTTTATGTGCGTTCAGATCATTACTTATATATTGATGATTCATCAAATTTAAGACTTATCAGATAAAACAACACATTCCTTAATTATTCATTGTTTTCTGGTATTTTAAACTAAGGTTGAAGCACACTTTGGAAATATTTATCCTCAAATGAAAAATAAATATCGGATTGTCATCAACGCTTCTAAGCTTACCGAGCATTAAAAAAGCTTCAGGTTTTACGATCAAAAGGAAAGCCTACTTGAAGTATCCAAACTTAAATAGTTTCTAATACATTATTTATATATTTTAGTTTTTAGGGAATAACCTATTACCGTAGTACTCATGTGAAGACCTGGACCCGGGACCGATTTACTTTTTCGGTTTGAGGTCCCTAGAGGCCAAAAACACCATCCAACCGTTCAAATTCATATATAAGTTAATATATATATGACCGTTAGCACGATAACTCGATGAAAAATGATCCGATTTAAATGAAATTTGGTATAAACGTCTAAACCTACATTTATTCGAACGAGTTCGCGAATCGGCATGATCAGACTACGGGAACAGGGGTTCATGGGGGGTTTAATGGGGTAAAAATAGACTTTTCCCATTTTTTTACCATAAAAACTCAAAATTTCTCAATTTATTTCCAAACCATTTTGTAGAGCTTAAAAAAACAAATAATTGAGTATATTGAAGTGTTATTATGCACCTAAAGGTCACGGAAAAAATTCAAAAGATTGTAAATTAAAAATTCCCATGTTATTTTTATGGAGAATCTGTTGTACAGTAGTTTGCTTGTTCATGATCATATTTTGATCAAATTTGGAAAATACATTCATTTCTTACACCATTTGACAACAAAAAACACTTTCTTACCCCCCCTGTTGAAGTAAACCTAAGTACTCGTTAAACTAACGGAAAGTAAATGAAAGATACGTCTAATAACACTTAAAACATATATTTACGTATACTGTTACTCACAAGACGGTAATAATACAAAAAAGATGGTAAGTGGTGATCCGGTGATCGATTTCGATTGGACACTCCAATCATCATCAGACCCATAGGCTTTCTTAATTCTATTTAAATAGGGAATAAATGTGATATTGTTAAGGAGGCATTTTAGTGTAAATCCAATCAAATGGAAATTCGCCTAGTCCACAGGTTTGCTGTGGAGGGTTTTTTTTTTATTTCTGCGTTTCATAATATTCAAACATTATTTATAAAAAATTGTATACAATTTTATTTTAATTATTTAAAACCTCCAGCTTTAAATAGTTTTATTTCTTATGGTCGTGACTTTTATTTCTCATATGTGGTTAGGGATTTAACAACTCTAGCAACCGGATGCCGAGAGGAAAATAAATGATTTAAATGAAATAAAATAAACGTTTTACTAATTTATTTGTTTATATTTATGTATTGGTAACTTAGTACGTTTTAGCGAATTTCCCTATAGAAGTAGCTATTACCGTAGGTGGCACGGTAAGACCTAGGCCCGGGACCCATTTACTTTTTCATTTTGAACTCCCCAGAGGCCAAAAACACCATTCGTTCAAATTTTTATATATATATATATATATATATATATATATATATATATATATAGATTTTTATATATATATATATATACGTCCATGAAAGCGATAACTTGAGTAATTTTTGTGCGATTTTGATGAAATTTGGTTTAAAGGTGTAAGGCGGGATAAACTTGAATGAGTTCGCGAACCAGTATGATCGGACCATGGGAACGGGGTTTTACGGGGGGTTTTATGGGGTAAAAATTGGTTTTTCTCATATTTGACCCTCAAAACACAAAATTTTACAAATTTTCTCTACACTATTTTAAAGAGCTTAAAAAAACAAATAATTTAGTATATCAAAGTGTTTCTGTACAGTTATCGGTAAAAGAGAAAATTAAAAAAAAAACTATAAATTTAAAAATCCTATGTTATTCTTATGGAGAATATTGTAAAATGTTGTAGTTTGCTTGTTTATGGATATATTTTTACCAAACTTGGCTAATTTATTTATTTTATACTAAACTCTTAATATTTTACAAAAAAATATACTTTATTAGTTTTCTTGTAGTAGCAAACCTAGGTACACATTAAAGCTAATGTTATTTAAATAGGTTTAATTAAAAATCAATTCACACAAATGGAAATTCGCTTAGTCGGCAGGTTTGCTGCGGCGGGGGTATTATTCTTATTTTATTATTAGCTTAGCGATAAAGCTACTAGTTATTGAAAGTTTCACTATCCGTGATTAAATACAAACGTATACTTATGATTATTTTTTATGACAAAAGTCCTAAATTACTTGAGAGGGTTCATTTACGTGTTTAGGTACCACAGTAGAATATCAAACTGTGGCATGGCGTGCTCTATAGGAATATGTAGTGTGTTTACGGTCTTTGATGTTTCACTAAGTTTTCAATGACAGAGAGCAGTGATTGACCCCTATTATCGGCAATATTTGCCTCAGGGACAGACCTTTACTGTAATATTCTTCCATCACCACCGGAATATGGGTAAATTATAATTGTTTTTTAATTGTGTTATATAATGAATATTTGCTGTATATAATGAGCATTTACTCGTATACATAACTTAAATTTATTATTTGATGTATGCGGTCGGGTTTATTTCCGTAAAAAATCGTTTTGTAAAAACATTATTCGTAAACAAATTCACCAAATAATTTTCGAATACGAGTAGGTTAGTAAAGAAATTTAAGCCAAATTCTCGTATACAGTTTCAGATTTATACGGGGTGTAATTATTGTTATATCGTTATTTACCATAGAAATCTTTTTAATAGGAAAAAAATATTGAATAATTATTCTACTCCAAAAAAATATATACTTTCTAACAAATGAATAGTTTGTGTTCATTTTTTAATACAAATGTTAACCTCATAACATTTCGAACTAATTATCACATGTTTTCACCAAAACTATATATTTTCCAGAAGGACATAACGCGCAATACCATCAAATAACAGAATGGCTCTAGTAATTCGATTTGCAATGTTTCATATGTTACTCAATTTAAGCACATACGTCCATTATAACCCAACACTAATTTAGTTGCAAAGTTGATTAATACCCACGTCGCCATTGGAACCAATATCCCCCTGGCGGCGTTGCACTATTTCACGTTAATTATTCACATTGCGCCCATCGTTAACGGCTTTTAAATATTTATTGCTGGAGCGTTCTCGAGTGCTTCCAATAGAATTTTTATAAGTTTTCTCGCAAATAACTTGTGATAGAAATTATCTGGGTCGAGTTCATGGTAAGCTGCCGGCACAACTACTTTAATTGTTCGGAATTTAATTTAAGGCAATCTTGTCAATAAATCACCTTTATATTTAACAAAGATTAAAATACAGGGGTTTTCTAAACTAATGGTACATTTTCGAATCCTTATACAAAAATGACCTGATGTAGGAAAATGAGGTTCGTATCCCTAAATTCTTTGGCTAAAATATTGTTGTTGCACTGTCGTGGAAAACAGCTGTTTAATTGTTGTCGTTGACATTTGCGGTTACTAAAAATATTTAATTTTGAACTAAAAACATATTTTATAATCAGGAGAAAGCAAAGTGCGTGGTGCTGTTATGTGAATTAAAGTCAGTTGTTTTAGTGGAATGGCTTTTGGAAGACTATTTTACAGAAATGTTCCTCCTAAAAATAACATCAGACGTTGGAGTAAATAAAACATAGTGACGCGATTAGTACAAAGACTCTGTGTCTAAGGGGAGAAAGAGGTAACAATCGAAAACGTAAGACAATCTTGCCTTGAAGGTCAGGATTTAACTATATGTGGTTTTTTTATGGAGATAAGTAAAACATCTCGTGTACTCTAAGAATATTCGTGATGTTGCTCATTTAAAGGAATGTATTTATGAAGCAGTATCATCGGTAACAAGAGCCATGTTGCACAGCGTAGGCCAAAATCGACCATCGATTAAAATGTCTGCTGAGTATCCAATAGTTTAAGTATGGAAAAGTATTAAATGTATCAATAAAAACCTTTTTTAGTGAGGGTTTTTGTAAATAAATTGTTTTAAGATGCCCTTCACTGTTATCTTTTTTTTACATTTTAAATCGTGCCATTAACTTAGGAAAACCCCGTTTATGCTACATTATTTCATTCACGACGTTGAAAATTTCACATATGGACTGTTTGTAATAATGTTTTTCCAATGCAATAAATACGTTTCGTTATCATGAACTTAACTGTTACATTGTAACAGTTTTGATCCACATTTTAAATATACCACTTTGGTAAGGATTTCGTGCACTTTTAAAGTCCATTTCTCTAGCACCTTCAAATTTAAACAGGTGTCCATTCACTCGTATATTTTTATATATGCCTTTTCACATTTCATATCCAAGTATGAATAAATATTTTCTCCTTTATTAAGGCAAACTAAGGACCTCATTGTCTTTTCTTACAATTAATCCCTAAACACGTTATAATAATAATAACATTTGATGTAGAAATAGACTAAGAAAACGACGAAAACTACAATATAAATAGTTATTTATTCCCCTATCATTCAGTCATGTGACCTCGACACTCCACGACAATACAGTTACGATAATGTTCTTTCGTGAATTTTTTTATAGCAATTCAACGAGTTGTTTAGAATAATTATTTTAAAGTCTCTTAATTTTTTTGTACAGTGTGAAAAACGCAACATCTCCTGGAGGGTTGATCTCAGAGCTGTCCATCAGAAGTGTTCGAACAGACGACAGTGGAGTGTACACTTGTATTGGGCGCAACCACTACGGCCACGACCAGTCCACGATACACCTACTTGTCCAAGGTACAAGTATGTTCCTTACCGTCCAAGTATTGTACAAGGCGTTACAAACGTTCTGAGCATTGACTTTCCTTCTCCACCCCTACACTAACTCTTTTTCCACCATAAACACATTTCTCTCTTTTCCACTTTATAAGGTAACCGATGATGGTATTGATAATAGAAAAAAAAATCTATGTATGCTAAATTTGTTGAAAAAAGGTTTTGGCAATGAAGTTTGATTTATCTTCCCCTCAAGCCATTGTAACAACACAAAACATAAATATATTATTTTTCTAATTTCAATTGCGTTAATTATTTCATACCAAAACTAGAACAACAGTACAAAATCTCCTGTAACGTTCATTTTCAACCAGGGTGATTAGGCTCAGCAAATCCGTACTTTCAGATCCTCTTAACCTGAGCCTGTATGGACAGTGACAAAACACATGCGGCATGTAATGGACCTAATCCCAGCATGAGCTGAAGGCCCTGGTTAGGCTAACTGTATTGATTACATACAGGGCCAGGGGACGCCCTTAGGTTTAGTAGTTAAATTAGTTAACGCCAATCGCATCAATATGCAAGGATTCATCCTTTGTAATTAAAATGTCACCTGCTTTATAACTATCTGTAAGGGGAGACATTTTTTCTGGGGTGAAAGTTGGACTTGATTTTTAAAATGGTTCTAACTTTATTACTCGTAACAGCTTTAGTTTGATTTTCTGATATGATATATTTGTTTCCTAAATAAGTGTCTTAGAGCAAACAAAATACAAAAGTTAAATTTATCTCAGTCCTTCCTTAAACGTCACATTTAAAAAGCATCTGGCCATTTAAACGTGTACATTGTGTATAAAATGTACAAACCCCTTCAAAACAATAATAGCTTGGGTAAATACAACACATTAGCACATAATATTGGTATAAGAATTCAATCAAAATTTTATTATTAAAGTTAATAATGACATTTATATGGTGTGAATATCATATTTTAACTACATATCAGGTAGTTATTTACAACTATAAACTGTAACGTAAGTATTTCATTTGTTTGGAATGTGGAAGCTTATATATTTTACTTACGTCTTTGATCACTTCTGATCATCAGTCTACAAACTTTCGTTGTAAAACCTCTTAAAAGATTCCGGTACTTTGGTGTTATACCGACCACACCTAATAATAACCTAACTTAAAGGGTGGACTATGTTTTAGGTTAGGTTAGGTTAGGATAAAAACACTGTTCTAACCTAACTTAACACAACCAAACTCGAACAGATTGAAATTCGTTTTTGCGTTGTTAATCGTTTATTAATCGTTATCTCATTGTTACGACCAAGTCAACAGTGATTCATTAACCGCGGGCCGCTGCTGGTGACGCTACTACAGCGAACCGTTGTATCTCAAAGACAGAAAAGATAATACCGACAACAATGCAGTCGTAAATACCTGTAAATGATTCAATTCTACTAAACAAAGAACTCTGTCATTGAAAACCTAAGTTTTGTACACTTTAATGCTCATGTTTAACAAGTTTTGGAGTTGTGGCAACCATATATAAAACACCATAGTCCCTTAGTAGATTTTCCATCCTTATGGACAGCTGAAGCCAATTTTATCGTTAGTTCTGTCCGGCGCTTTTTAGAGGTCGTGTTTTGTTTACAATTTGTTTCTTGTTATTTCAGTACCCTTTTTAAAAAATAAAACGATATAATCATAAATAATAACTCATCCTCTATTTATATAACCAAACAGTAAAGTACAAATCATGAAATTAACTCTTAAATAATATAAACAAAATCTCGTCGAAACTAGCCACTAGTGTCACCGGACATGAACTAGACACGAAAAATGAGCTTAAACATTTACAATAGGATGGGAAGTCTACTTGTGTTGGTTATTTTACGTGGATTTTGACCCTTTTTTCATGTGCATGTTCAGCAATTCCATTGTTGATACTTTATTTCCATCTGGTTAAAGCTTCTAATGGACAATCTTGCTACCACTTGACTATTTGTTGCCTGTTTGCAGACGTGCCAGGCAAGCCCTTCAACGTTCGCCTGGTGGACCACAGCAGTAGGCAAGTGCAGCTGTCTTGGACCCCACCTCAGGATGGTAACAGCCCTATAACTCGGTATATTATTCGCTACGCACCCCTACAAGGTTAGTGAAATTCCAAGCATGAACTAATAGTGAATTATTGTAATAGCAAGTAATATATTACTGGCGTTGCGTTGGGGGAAACCATATTTTCGTCATACAGCTGAAACAACTGTTATATTTCATCCATTGTGGGGCTTAAGTAGTTTTTATTACTACAATTAAACGGCATATTATAAGAGCAAAGCAGACGGAAATCATGTGAAGGAGGACTTTATAAAGGTAAACAATTAACGACATTTTTTTAAAATTAATTAGCCAGTCAAAAATGGTGCAGTGTGATGGTCAATATAGTTCTATTACGGGAGAAAATGTATTTTTTTTTCTCGATCATGTATTTGGACTTAACATAGGTTACTAACACCCCCAACCAGTCGTTCGTGTAGGAAAAAATCAGTTTGACATGCACAAGGTAATTATTATATTAGCGATAAAATATATATTTACACTAACTATTTATTTTTGTTGTTATGTGTTCTGTATTGTAAGATTTTTATTAAAATCTTAATTTTATTAAAAAAATTGGTAAATACAAGGTTAGGCTTTTTGGTCAGAGCTACGAATTCCCTAATCGCCAGCACCAATAAATTTAGTTGGTTCTAAGTGCAATGGAATATGAATTACAATAGTTCTGAAGTACAATGAAGTAAAATAGTTCTGGCCTACAACACACAACATATATCAGAAATTTAAACAGTACTGGTAAATAATTAGCCCCAACAACCCAGGTCACTAAACACATTCCAGTTTCTCCATATGGTTTATTAAACCGGGCTCATAGTAAAAAGGAATTCACACTCATTGGTTCTATTCTCAGTGAAAAATAACATTGACTTGGGTGCGGCTAGAAAGACACATACATTTTTTATAAATTTCAAAGCATAAAATAAAACAACTAAATATGTGTACATATCTAATGTGTACACCGTGGTAAATATGTGTATGTGCTTGGTTTAAAAGGTATAACAATATTAAAGAGGTACAACACTAATTTAAAATATATCCAAAATCCTACAAAAACCTACAGTTGGTGATTCACTATGAGACTATTTGTTGTGCCTAACACTTTCAATATTACCGATTGGCGCGGAATTGAATTTTAAAATAACAAATTGTTCAATTGTTGGTAGCATTAAGCTGATCTGAATGGTTAGTTACCGTAACTAGCTAGTTTAGCAATAACAATTATTCAAGGCACGTAGGGTTAATTTGAATACAACATAGGCCTGCAATGCTTCAAAGGGTTCTACACTTTGGAGAGGATCCGTGCCCTAGAGCAGCCCTAGTAGGGTCTCCAATCCCTGAAAGCTTACGACCATCATCAAAAGATTCGAGAACCTTTTTGTGTGACGCACGTAAAAATACCTCATTATGTGTTCTTTATTTGTAGAAAACGTTAATAGTATACTGAAACCATCGTTCTTTATTTATGGTAGGATTATTAGTATTATTATTATTGTTATAAATACTTACACTTGTTATTTTCATTCAGTTTTTACTCTCATAAATTGTTTATTATGAAAAAATTTGAACGGAATTTAGTTACCTTATGTATGTTTTTATTTCTTTCTCCCCCATACACAGTATGTGGAGAAAGGTATTGTTTTCGTCAAAATTTTCGAGTTTGATTTTGAGTGGATATATATCTATTTTGGGTCCCCCTAAACCGAAAAAAATGCTTTTAGAAGTGATGTCTGTGTGTTTGTATATCTGTGTATATGGATGTGTACAGAACTACAGACCACACCTGATGTCCGATTTTGATTAAATTTGGTATGCAGGTACTAATCATGGTAGCTCCAGGTGTTTTTTATTTTTTTTTATTTATATTTTTAATGGGGATTTTCCCATAAATACCCATAAAATATCAGAAAAATATGATTTTCTCAAAAATGGCCCAAACGATTTTGAAAAAGATTTAGTATGTTATAGTCCTTTAGATTTTGAACAAAATGGGACAAATTCCAGTTCCGTAAAAATTACGGTTCAAAAGTCAATGTAATTTATGTTATTTTCCCATAAGATTACAAAAAAACTGACTTTGGAAAAGAAACCCGGTAAGGACGATAACACATTAATAATTAATGTGTTATCGTCCTTATAATTCTAAACAAAACAATGCAACCCCATTACTGTAACAATTACGGTTCAAAAGTTATCGCAACATTTGTGATCTTTTTCCTACAAAATTGTAATAGTTACTCCCACCGCTTATCAATGATTAAGGTTGTTGACAAGCTTATGGGAGAAAGTATGTGTCAGATTGCTGATACCATTTATACTTTATTATCAATCGCTTAAGTAAATAAAATTTTGTCGTTCATCCTATGCAATATTTTCACACTAGTTTTAGCCAAACAGATTATTTAAGGACAATAATATTACCACTGGTAATTCGAAGCTTTGACTTATAAAGTAGTTACTGCATACTGCTGTGCAACGGGATTATTAAAATAATATAATATCGATAAACGTAACCAAATCAATAATGTTTCTTTTGACCGTGTTTACGTGTTCGCCTGTTATTAATGGTTACAAAAGTGTTTGGTACAAAGTAGAGCGTAACCATCGTGGTAACGTAGTCTTAGGCATACACTCTAGATCCGTACGCACGTGAACATTAATCTAAATGTTATAGGTTTCCATTTTTATTTCTTTCGAGTGCGACTTTGTTAAAATTACGGCTTCGGAGGTTGATGTGTCTATCACAGTCAGGAGCACTAATTATGCAGAAGATATGCCTAGAACTTCTCCAAAGGATACAGTAGAATGGTCGATGACCTGAGTAACTATTAGTAATATTAGAGAAAACGGTGTTCTTAAATAATAATTTAATTTTAAATATCGAATACCGTACATCTACACTTTACATAAGCGTCTAAGCAAAAAAAAAATAAAATAAAATAAATTTATTTATAAAACGATATTGTATAAACGAACGTTTTAAACTTCGCCGAATGTATATGTAGAATTTTTAATATTTAAGTATCACTTCACTTATATATGCTATTAACATTTGATTCACCCAAAATATTAACCAAAGGAATATTTTGTTGATGTTTGGGGAGTAGAATCAAATAAGTTGCAGGAACAAACCCTCTTCAACCACGACTTAAGAGCCCTTGAGAGACTAAGTTAATTACACGCGTTCTACGTTAATGAGGTTTCCCGAAGGAAAACATTTCATCAGAATATTCTAATTAGTATTTTTCACTTTTATCTTGATTAGGAATTGTTTACTTTTACTCTTTATTTGTGCCAAGAATTTTTCGCGTGAACTGTTTTTTAAATAACATTTTACGATTAGTGAACGTTGTAGATAAAAGAAAGCTTGGATCGAGATACGATATTTTTACTCTGAGTTTTCATATTTCGGTTTGAGATAAAAATGTTTTTATCTAAAATACTTTGAGGGATCTTATTCACTTGCAAAAACCTTTTTATAAAAGAACATCGCATTGATAAATTATTTCAAAATAATTATGTTTCGATTAAATTATGTATCTAAAATTTATAAATTTGAGCATCTTATGAAAATAGCGTAAAGAATTCAGTTATTTAATCTTCATGTATCCATTATAATGTTGATGTTATCATCCACATAGTGTTAAATGTATTAGTGTACGAGTCTATGTGTTTTATTCGGATTTTTGTTTGTGTACATATCAGAATTTTGTTCCCCTTAATCTTAAAAAATTATTTAGAGAATTTATATGCATTATATACTTAACTATGCTCAGATTAAAAGGTATTACAATATTTCGGGAAATAAAGTTTATTTTTGACAGCACAACGTTACATCATTATTTTGTTATAACATTTTGTACAAAATAAACACCAGTGCAGTTTCAAGTTTGCAGATTTGATTGGATCCATTGCTCGTTATAATTGATTGCGGTATTTTGGAACCATTAGTGAGCATAAATATGATATGACCAACGGATTATTTGGTGCATACGCGTATAACGCAAACAGTGGTATTGTTTTACCTTATCCGGTTACGTATAAATGTAAAATATTAATTTATATTTGAAAAAATAGTGTTGGTAAACTGCTATTTTTGGAGAATTATTAGTGCCAAAACCAGTTATGACTGATTACGCCCAGCAAAAAGTCCATTTTTATACCTAATATCAATAAATATTTTAACGACTGGTGACATTAAAAAAAATCGGTCAGGGCTTAGGTCTTACCATGCCACCTACGGTAATAGTTACATCGCTATAAGGAAACAAGGAACAACAAGAATGGGTATGTCAAAGTGTATGTAGTTTTCTATAACTATCATTTTGTTTTGTGACCTTTTATATATTTAGTTTTTATTGATGTGTGTATACAAATCCTATGAAATTGCCGGTCAGGATAAACTGTATACAGTAATTGTAGGCAAAATGTTTCTAATCCAAATTCAAATGAAAAAACCGTGTCTTAGTAAATTATTACTATCTTTGGTATAATAATACTAATACGTAATAACGTTACTATTATACCATATAATTTTATTCACCTGGTATTGCATACAGCATTGCATTCTGAATGCTCTCATAATGTTAACATTTATTCCTTTTCTAGTCCATCTGCCTAAGTCCATATTTTTGTTTAGGAATACGCATGGAAACCTAAGCAACAATATTACAGAGTCAACCCCTGTGACACAATTACAAATAAGCTAGTTAACTGAAAGCAAGAACCACTAAGTCTAAGAGCGTCTTGTAGTGGAGGGGATGAGAGAGGGAATGGCTGCATGGTGGTTGGTTGTGGATTGGTCGTGTGTCACTTTATTCCGGTCCATTTACTATTAAACAGCTGTCTCCTCGATAAGTTGGTTTAGAAATTCTCATTATCGCATTGGCAGCTTAAGACCGTAAATAATACAACGTTGCCCTACTTTTCCACTAAATAAATTTCCTAAAAAATCAACGTTAAATTATTTTTGTGTTTTAAGGGTACATTGAAAATATGTTTAGTTCACTATGGTTAATTCATACAGGATTTGTTTGTTTCATTTTAAAATCCCTAATATATCCCTATATTTACCGAAAGTTAACTATTTAAACAAACGTTTTTTTACTCATTGTTGTTGCTTGCCCCTGAACTAGTATGACAAATATAAAATAATAGTGGTTTAGTTACCTTTACTTTCGTCCCAGTTCAATAAAAAGTTGTAATATCTACAACCATGGTTTCGACGCTAGTTGCGTCATGGTCACGTAGTTAGCAAGTCGAGAAGTATCTTGTCATAGATCGGTCGCTTGGACGTCGTCATATTTACACAAACACGGACACGGACATAAACACACACGTACATTGATTAAAATAAAAGGTTCTCGTGGACGGACGCTTTTTTTTTGCTTGATAGACCTTTAGTGGTATAAATAGATAGTTCTATCTATTTCCGCAGGTCTCCGTTAGAAGGCCTAGGTCAGAGGCCCCCTATTGCCCTTTGCCCTTTGTCAGACGATTAACATTATCCCTTTTGAATGAATTCGTGAATTACCCTAATTCGAGCGTAAGAAGGTAAGTTTTGGCGTAGTTGCGTACACTAAAATTGAAAGGCATCTTTTAAATGTTTTCCAAAAATCTGTTCGCCACATTTTCAACATCTAAATCATCTTAAAAACGCTATTTAACTTATTTTATTTCCTCAAAACCTATTAGTTATTAAGTCGTTACAAGTTTTGAATTCATTATGATTTCTTGATGATATATGTATTGAGATATCTTATTTGCTATGTATTAATCTTAAATGAGGTGTTGAAAATTTGCTATGGATTAATCTTAAATGAGGTGTTGAAAATTAATCTTTAAGTTTTCACTCATTAATTTCTTTAAAATGAATGCTTTAAAAATTAATCGAATTAATATTTTTCACCCCTCGTATGAACAAAACACGGTGTGCTTACTCATCGATTCAAATGCAATTTTTTACTGGTTTTATCGAATTTCCTGTTAAGGAAATAATGTATTACCGTAGGTCTCATGGTTAGACCTAGCCCACGGACCGATCTTATTTTTCGTGTTGAGATCCCCAGATTCCATAAACACCATTTGTTCAGATGTATATAAATATCCGTTAGCACGATAACTCGAGTTAAAAAACGATTTGAATTTGGTCAAATTTTGTAATAACGTGTACACCTATGTTCATTCGAACTAGTTGGCGAATCAGCATGATTGGACTATAGAAACGGGGTTTTGTTGGATATTTTACTACGTAAAATGGGTTTTCCCGTTTTTAACCTCAAAACATAAAACTTGCAATTTTTTCTAAACCATTAAAAAACATATAATTTATTATATTGAAGCGATTTGAACGCTAAATAGCTAGGGAGGAGTGTTTAGGAAAAACTGTAAGTAAAAATTCATTTTCATTCTTATGGAGAGTACGTTAACTGTTGTAGTTTTGCTTGTATATGGATACACTTTGATCGAATTTGGACGTTTAAGTTATTTATTTTATACTAAGCACACCTCATTTTACTAAAACGCACTTCATTACTCAACTTGTATTAGCAAACCTAAGTAATCATTAAACCTTATTTTATTTCAAAAGAAGGAACAAATCTGACATTCTAAGTAGACATTATTGAGTGAAAATCAAATTACGCAAATGAAAATCTGCGTTGTCTGCAGGTTGGTTGCGATGAATGTTTATTTTGTTTACGTTTTTGTTTTTGTTTAAGTGTAACGAGTGTAACTTACTTTTTATGAAACCTTTTGAGGCTTAAACTGCAAAAGGCAACTGCAAATACAGTTTTTATTGGTATTCTGTGAACATCCCCTTCAGTTTGTAAGTTTATACAACTGTAGAAGAAGAATAAAATATTCATAGATAAATCTTTGTAATGAAACCAACCATGAACCATGATCAAACCATGTATTCTATTCTATTAGTTCAAATAGAAACTTAATTCCATACACTGATGAAGCTTTACTTAAGTTACCTATACTAAGACAAATCAAATAAATTAAAACCTACATGTTTACGATAAACAGGCTCCAACTACTATTCACCTGTAATTTTGTTGCACCTAGGATATGAAACAAAATTCAGTCCCTCAACTGACGACAATAATGTAGTTACTTATACTTTCTAGTTAAAATACTGGTATTGTGTTTAATTATAATTTCTTAATAAAGAGTCTCAAACGTTAGGGTACAGGTTTTGATCTGATAATTATTATCAGATCTGCGTTTTATTTGATCCGCATTTGGTATTTAAGATTCTTTTGCAGTTTTGTTTTAATGCTTTTTCAATGAATGCTTTATATTTTATTTTATCGACTCTAATGTTAAGGACTCTAACAGGTAAAATGACGTAACCTTCATTCCATACAAATGCAAATTCGTATACATTATTTTATTCAAATTTGATAACGAAGATTTATTGAAGTTTCACTCCATAGTTTTTCCATAAAGAGCCCGGAAAGGAATCCCTTATTTTTAGATTAAACCACAATTCATTTTTTAACGGACAGAATAACATAGCTTGACACTTAACTTTGGTATTCGTAACTAAACATACAGCTCATGGTCACATTAGATTCGTCACTACATTAGTGCTATAACCGTTTTGGAGATGATCCATTATCAGGTGTGTGTAGTACAATGAAACACCTGCAATGCACTCAATGACTTCATTTGCATTACGTTTATGGATTCAAACAAAACATAAACTCACGGGACGTTGCGATACATTAGACAAAGGATAGAGTGTTTATGGTGCTCGACTCAGCCATCTGGAGGTTGCTGTTTCCATCCTGAAAACATCCAGAAGCTGTTTGATGCTTCAAAACTGGTCCCAACTGTCCATTAGTGCTGGGCTTAAGAAAAATTATCCTTTTTGTTCAGGAAAATACGATCACCTCATTCAGTGACAGCAGTACTAATAGAATTCAAAATTCATTCTTGCCTTTAACTACACCCCCTGGCGTGTCTGGTTCTAAACATAATCATTTTTTATACAGAGTCGCCAAAAGTTCCAGGAACACGTCATTTTATTTTCCTCACTCGGTCCCGAAAGTAGTTATTTTTTAAATAAGAAAATCACATGGAAAATGCCCTTAATAAAAGTTTTCTTAAAGAGTAGCTCAAGAATAAGCTTGGAAAGAAATTTGGCGCTGTTCCGTTCAGTAGTTAGGGTAATACGGTAGTTAACTTCAAAGTCCTTTTTTAAAACGTTTTGACCCACTCTGTATATATGGTTGACGATAATTATTTTTTTTGCACCTAAATAATCGGGGTGATTTAAGACCTTTAAATTGATGTATCACACAAGCCATGTTTACATTTGAAAATTTCTCAAAAAGCACCCCTACCCCCCAAATTCAGCCCTTTTGGGTCATTTTTCAATCTTGAAAATAAATTTATTGAATTGGACATGTCCAAATTAGGGGGAAATGGAACAAACAAGTGTTAAAAGTCTTACCTTTGCACACAACAGATATTGAAAGTTTTCAAATAAACACCCTGTTGTATATATAGAGTACGTGTACTACTTACTAAAACTCGTGATACAGGAGAATCTTGGCTGGAAGGAAGCCTCGAGACATCTGTGGAAGGAAAGGAAATCGTTGGAGTGATGAGCAATCTTCACCCAGCAACTACGTACTCCGTCCAGATCATCGCTGAGAACAGTCTGGGTCTGGGAGAGCCCAGCATGGAGCTGCGGGTGACCACTGAGGAGGAAGCACCCTCCGCGGCGCCCAGGAATGTCAAGGTGGAGGCTACCTCGTCTACACAGCTGGTGGTGTCCTGGGACTCTCCTCCTGGGGACCAATGGAACGGGGTCCTTCTAGGACATTACGTGGGTCACAGAGAGGCTGGGTCAGTATATATCTGTAGTTAACTTGGCACTTTTAGTTTATTCCGTTGCGTGGCATTTCTCCGGAACAAAGCTATACGAGGCAAACTTAACTTAATATTCTACTTTTGCTGGTTGAGCAAAGTGAAATATCATTAAATTATGTAGTTTCATAAAACTGCTTATTTAGTGCATTCAAGCATTGCCAAAAATCGTATAGCTTTTATCGATATGAGTTCATCAATACATTGTGCCGAAGCCTCGTCTTAGATTTTAAAAAGATTTTTTAAAAAATAACTAGATCTACAGCCTGAGATGGGTTCCGTACCACAGGGTTTTAGCGTTATCAATTGGTTAAAGGCTATTGATGATCGACGGTTTTTGAATACTTTTGATCCACACAGTACGCCAGCCTCAAACATAGCATTTGTTTCAAACATGTTGACTACCAAATTAATTAATACCTGAGCTATCAGTGAACTTTCTTAGCAACTTTTCCTTATAACGAAGTAAAAGCACACTCCCCTGTAAAAACGGTTGTTTTTTATGTCCCACCTTCACATTCTGAACTCTAGGTTCTAGCTTGGAACTCTTTTACTTTACTTTAGGCTATTCATAGAGGGTTGCGGCATTATTACATAGTTAAAATTCATTGGTGATTTGCGGGATTTGAGCCCGGGACCTCAGGCAGTGAAGTCCCACGCTCTACCACTAGACAAGCTCACTCTCCGTAAAAACGGTAGCTTAGGATTATACCTTGTTGTTACCAAATATTCCTTGACTTTTTACACCAACAATTCAAGCTTACTAAACAAATCGAATGTGTAAAATAAATTTATACAAACCTACTAGACCATATAGTTTGTATTTCTTAAAAAATAATCAGGTCTTCAAAAGAAAACTACATTCTATGAGTAAATCTGAGTAGACACAAATAGTAATAAGGTTGTTAGATCTTTATTCAAATTAATGGCCCCTAACCGGAGTTTCCAGTTACAGTTTTCCTGTCGACGACATTTTCTATTTTCGAAGCAGCAATGGTGTAAGCAGTTGTCGATTCACCTTTTACATTACCAGAGGAAAGTTGTAAATTTATATTGGTAAATTTACTTACCAGCATGTATTGTATATAGGCCTATGCATGTTTTGCTTTCGGTGATTAAAATTAACACACATGTATAAATTTGTTTTTACTCATAAAAGTGTTGCAAGTTACTTAAATTATTAAGGGGAATATGATTCCCAGGGTTAATTATAAGATAAAACATGAAACTAAACTTTACAAGAAGTTTGTTTAAGTGCAATTCTTTGATAATTAAAAATAATAAGTTGTTATAAACATGTATATTATCGTTATATTATACAAGGATATATTTTAATGTAGATTTAAAGAGTCGTTAATAAAATTGATATTTATTACCAAACAAATTGCGCTATCTTTTGTGTTTTTTAATTACCCTTGCATTAACTGCTTTAAGTACCATACTGTTTGATTAAAATATTAATTGGGGTTTCTCCGTAATCTCTTGTAACCATTATATTTTTACATAAACAAACTCATGTATTTTTTTCCAAAATAATGTCTTGTTCTTTATCTTAGAATAGTTAGTTATTCATCAAAGAAATGGGAGCTTAGCAAATAAACATGACGATAAAATATTACAGCGTTAATTAAACAATGCCTAATTTTTTACAGAGAGTATGTACAAAAATAAATAGCAGAGAATGTTTTTGAGAAGTGTCTAAAATACGATCTTTCAACCATACTCCACATGCTATAACCCGAGAAAGTTGACTGATCCACGTCAAATTTGATGTGTAAATGACATCTTATAGTGGCAAACAGTCTGGTTTCAACATAAGTTACTGATTACCGAACACGGTAGCTCTGCCTTGAACTGATAAGACACAACCGCTGATTGCTTTTCCGAGACCAGCTGGTATCACAAACTTGTTGCTGTAGTCCCTACTGGCTTTGCCCTTGTGAATTATAGCCTTCCTTTCCCGATGCCCACGGTATTTTATTAAGATTTTGATATTACCGTATGGATAAGTAGTAGTAGTAGTAGTGGCCTACGCAGTTAGGTTTATACAAAGTAAATCACTACATAACATTTTTTTCTGGTTCACAGTGAGGTTAAGAAACAAGGTATAGGCAGCCAGAAGCAATACAACTTCACTACGGTACTACTGAGGTCGGGAGGGGCCAAGGAGGAGGTTCGGCTGACGAGGCTAAGGAAGTTCTGCAAGTACGCCATCATTGTACAGGCTTACAACAAGCGGGGAGCGGGGCCTCAGTCTACGGAGGTCATAGCTCAGACGCTGGAGGATGGTCAGTCCCCAAACTAGAAACACTTGCTTATTTAATTGGTTGAAATAAGTGTATATTGTATTTAAAATTTAACGGAATAACACTCGCTGAGTGATTCAGCACGCCCCGTTTCGTATTTGAAGATTGTTGTATTGTTCTTAGGCAGAACATTTAGAAATGTAATGAAGGTTGATTCTAAAACATACCTACTGTTTGTATTAAGTTGCTGAGAAATATAATAGCTAATATATGTCTATAAATCACTTAATAGTGCTACCTCACTTATCCTACATTCGTACTTATATCGAATTACGTAATTTTCCTCCGGCCTAGGTCCACTCATTATCTCTCTCTACTTCTAGAACATATTATGTTCAAAGTTTTACCAGACTGTATTTTATGATAGTTGCACTATTCGGTTAAATTATTAATTAGTAATACAGGTCGTTACCAAGAATTTAATATGACTGATAATTTTTCATCGGTAAGCAATTAACGTAATAAGAAAAGGGAAATTTTAAACTTCGAGCTCAGCTAAACTACGTTACTGATTAAAATGTAACTAGAGTTTAGTAGGAATGAGCAAAATCACATTATTTGAATGATTACTTCACAGTAATATTATTTAAATATACACCTAATAGACAGCATACACCTAGCTAGTGAGTGACATTTTCACATTTTAAATTTACATTTTCACTTCATGACAAATACTACATAAAAATTTGGGAATCCACACAGAGGTCAAAACCCTCGTCAATCAAAATTCATCTATCAATGTATAAATTTAGTTCGCCTGTAACATTTTCTTTCAAGTGACTAGGTAAATAAAGGTGTGACATTTTATACGAAAGAAAAATATTTAGAGATTAATTACTGTAGCTGTCTCAAGTATAACAAGTAACTGATCTTGACCATGTAACATTTTGACCATGTAACATTTTGTCCTTACTTCTTTCACCACTCCTTACTTCTTGGTTGAGTATTCAAAGCCTATAATCATTCTTCAATGTAATTGATTTTTTCCTAGATATGCTGGACAGTTTTTAGACGTAAATATTTACAATGTGATTCCTAAAACAACACAAATACACTTACAATCCACTCAAAAGAATTAGAATATAATTTTAAATGTGACAATTACAAAAAATTCACGGTTTTGTGATCTATATTATATTATTGATATTGATATTTTGTGATCTAAATTATTTGTCCTCTCGTAGTACCCGAGGCTGCGCCGCGTCAGGTGTCCTGCGAACCTACATCTCCAGAGTCCCTACAAGTCACTTGGCAACCACCTCCAGATGCTCTGGTCCATGGTATCATCCAAGGATACCGATTGTTCTACGAGACCTCCGAGGATATGCAAGGTGCGTAAATCCTAACTGACGTTGAAATCAAATGATCGGTCGTCTTTATGGTGCCATTTATGGTATCATTTGTTCATTATTCTGAACTGCTTTTATATCTGTTTATCTGTTATGTTGTCGTTTATTGATAATGTTATGTTTAGCAGTTCTTATGGAGCAATACATTTGTTCTAAAACCTTACTAATTCATATTTGTTCTGTCAAGATTGATTTTGGGATTGGTGGAATTGTTGTCAAATATTACAATTCAATAGTTTGGTTGTTTCAGAGATAGTAATTTCTTCAGTATTACTCTCTTAAACAGCTTTGGTCAGTATTGGTTCATGTTTGAAATTCAATGGTTAGTTGGCCCGATTCTTGTGCAATATTGTCCATGAAAAACTAGAATATAAATCAAACTATCAGTTGTATGATGTAGTAAAAGGAACTAAGAAAGGATACATATAACACCAGTTAATAATTAAAGTCATTCCGAATTTTTGTAGTAGCTTTCCAAATTTTGAATTGTTAATCCACTTCTTTATGGTACAGGGGGATCCACATGCATCATGTACGTAGTATATAACTATTAACCGAGGCGTTTTAAATCTATGTTTAAGATGTTACTGAGGTGCAGACAAAGATAACGACGGCACTGACAACTAAACTCCACGGCCTCCTGAAGTACACTAACTACAGCATAGACGTCCTGGCCTTCACTCGAGTTGGGGACGGTGCACGGTCAGAGAGGATCTTCTGCAGGACCAAAGAGGATGGTTGGTACATTTTTATAATACAACGGAACGTAAGACCAGTAGATTCCTATTACATATTTATAGTACATTTCACTAAAGTGGCTAAAATTATGTTTGCAGGCTCGAGATGTTTTTAGTTCGAGAAGTATTAGAAAACCTAAAAATATTTAAAGGTCGTACAACGCGTTCGTTTGATGTGTGACCTTTATTTTCCCTGCTCTGTAGAATAAACGTAGAGTAATTAAATAAAATAATATTGAGCAAATACAACCCTCCAATAACAACGCCACTAGGTCTCTAACAAATTCCAAAACTCAAAACCTCGATGGGAAAATATTTTAATTTAGGGGGTTATTGTAGGGAAATGTCTCATATTCATAGATAGGCTTACATGCTCACTCCCTGTAGATTCGTGTTCTTCGTTCAATATTCGTATCAAAATAAGTTAAACAAAAAAGAATGTCATCTTCAGGCAAAATTTAACTTGATTCGATTCTTTTAACGAGTCGAGTGTCAAATCTGAACTATGAGTCAGCTTCTGATTACATGATAACAGTTTCTGAAACACTGTTAAACATTTGATCATAGACTAAGTTTACAAACACTATTTTTAAATTGACTTTGGTACTTCAGTTCCAGACGCCCCAGCAAACATTAAGGCGATGTTGGAAAAGCCAGACATAGCGGTCGTAGCGTGGCTCCCTCCAGCCAATCGGAACGGCGTGATCCACACGTACGGCATCCACATACACATCCTGGAGGGCGGCAACCTGATCGACAAGAAGAGTATGCGGCAGCCCGCAGGGTCAGGGTCTGTGGACCACTTGCGCTACACTATGGCAGGGCTCAAGAAGAGGCATGTCTACGAGTTCAGTGTCACCGCGTTTACTGATGTTGGAGAAGGACAAAGTACTCCCGCAGTCACCGTTACACCTTCAACAAAAGGTCAGCGGATTATAATTCAGTGTTTGTGTGATGAATGCAGTTTTATCTTAGTACTACATTATTACGTTATGTTTCTGTTTGGTTTCACTTGAAATACTTTGGAAAGTGAAAATGATAACCAAGAATTGAATCAACTTTGACGTAATCTAAAATTATATTTTTGCAAATATATATGTGGAGGATAGGGTTGTATCTAGTGATAAGAGTCTGGTCATCTTTTTTACGCCTCCGTTTCAATCCAGTCAACCAGTGTCTTAAGGTATTTGATAACGCAACCCAATATTTAGGGACTCATGTTTAGCTAAATACATAGACGAAAAAGAAAAAGGTTTTCTTGTTTAGGGGATTTTTTTTTGTATTATACAACCTTTTCTAAAAGCCGTTTTTAAGTCTGTCGTGTAAAGAATTATTTCCAACAAATCTTTGCTATCATCCCTATATATAAGATATATAAGTAAGAGTGTTAGGATTGACGATTGCCAAATAGTGAATGAAATAAAACTAGAAAGAAATTATCTGGCTTTAAGTTTATGTCAGCAAGTAACCTTCATGGGTATCTATATCATTTTACACAATCTTTCAGTATCTCTAAAACTCCACAATGCTACTAACCTCTAAAAACGATTTGCTTTTGCAGTAAACGCAGGAATCCTATCGTTTGGAACCACAAAGGTGGTAGCTTGGAGAAGTGACGTCCGATTTCACTGCCGTGTTGTTGGGATTCCTGAGCCTAAACAAGAGTGGAAGAATGGTAAGAGAAGTCCAAATTAGTACATTAGAAATATAAAATATTTACTAACGTATTTTTTAGGTGTTGTGTATTTTGGGTGTGTAACGTAATAGGTGTTCTAAAAACGTAGGGCCTAATGTTTTATTTTTTTTAGAGAATTATTTATCTATATACATTTTAAAGTGAAAGCTGGTCAAAAATGTGCATTAACATATTGGTTTTAAAAACATATGAATATTTTAATAATAGACTACAGTCTCTTGTCCGTCTTCTTTTCAATATAGTAGTCTGAAGATTACTAGTTTCAGGTCATAGGACACATTGTGAATCAAACATAAAATTAATAGTCAATAATACCCGACAGATTTCTTTGTCAAAGAACACATATGGTCAAATAAAGTCAATAATCAAAAACACAGAAAACATTTTAATACTCACTGGGCCAACGGTCACACTTGAAACACGGGACAAACCGAAACAGGCTGTACGGCGAAAATGGCGCAACCATGATTGTTGCTTTGTGTTTGCCATTGCATTCATAAGATAATGCTGTTGTAGGAGACGTGAAAATCAACTTCCAGCAGCCAGGGTCCCGCGTGGAGCTGATGGGAGACGGCTCTCTGATGCTCAAATCTGCCCAGAGGAGCGATCAGGGAGAGTACACCTGCAGCGTGTCCAACGAGCACAGCCAAGATTTTATTACATATTTACTTTTAGTTCAAGGTAATATTGACTTCTCAGTCGTTATTAGGTAATTTAAAAATAATTAATAAAGCCGTTTGTTTTCATAGTTTCCAAAGTTATTTCAAATCGTGAACAAATTATAGATTGACTGGAACCATTAACACCAAATTAACCGTATCGGTAGTATTTCTTTCAAATACGTCAAACTCTCGATAACCCGACACCTGGTGGTAATCCAATGCTGCAATAAATTCAGGTCAAGTGGACTTTTGTTCCGTGTTGAGATATTAAAGTTCAAGTCGTGATGTCCAGTCCAATAGCGTGATTCAGCGAATGGTGGTGCTTGTAATTGTTCTAGAACGAGTACATATTACTGTGATTTCTATGATTATTTCTCAACTCAACTACCTTAAATTCTGTATTTCAACTTATGCAATACAGGTAGGTCTAATTAGATGGGATTTACTATTTATTTGCCCATATACTTGTTTATTTAGTAAATATTGCTGTTTTGCGAAATAATGACTAAACTGATAAATTTGAACGTCAAATAATTGAAAAATACGTAATAAGTTAACTTTCGTGGTTCAAAGGCCAAGTTTCATAATAGTTAAGTACATCGGTTCTATTACGTTTTCGGGAACTTGACGATTTTCCCGGTCCTATATGGGTCATACTATTGAAAGTATACTGTAGGTCTTACTATTGATACACACTAAATTACAAATATTTCCATGAGTGCAAATCCTAACATTGTGTTTTGTCTTATTTACAGTGCCACCGGACGCGCCATTATTGCTGATCACAGGCAGTACGGCACACACCCTCCAGCTACAATGGAAATTAGGGGACGATGGTGGAAGTCCTACCAAAGGTTTCGTCATCCATCTGAAGGCAGAAAGTGGGGAATGGGAGGAAATCAGAGTGGGAGGCAGCCTAAGCACCTACGCCCTCTCTAACCTACGCTGCGGCACTCTCTACCATGTCTTCCTCACTGCCTACAACAGGGTAAGTAACAGCCATAGCACCGGAAGAGAAATCCGAAGTTTTTCAGGAAAATGGCCTGGTGAATAAGTCTGTGACCTAAGCCAGAGATGAAGAATGAACCACTGGGCTTCGGTCAAACATCTTTCTACTTCGCAGAGAGGCATTCTTACGACTTACCAACCTTCCAGAACCTCTCATTCTACAGACATTTAAGTCCTGGAACCTATCATTGCAGACTGTCCACCATTATGTAAAAGGATTATAATTGATTCTTGACCTTGGCTCCCTAGACAGTATCTTGTGATACTGTACGTTTATTGGCAGAAACCAGCTCTGAATCGCCATTCAACTCGATCTCCAGGGATCGAGTTGAATGCTAAGACAGGCGAACATGTGATTTTGTGCTCCCTTGAATTTCGTATATTTAAGTGGTAAATTCCAGTTTTAAACCATCAATTTGGTATGTAAATGTAGAGATAAACCTTTCTTGAGTAATCTATAAACACCTTTATGTGAAGAAGAATATTTTTTTCTATAATCTTGCATTTTAACGTTAAAATAATTAGGATTTTCATGAAAATTCTTTAACAGAGATAAAGTTGAGAGATAAGGAGGGACCTGGTCGAGGTACAGGTGAACTGCCCTTTGTACTCACCTGTGATAAGCTCATCTGTATTGGAGTGAAGCAAACACTGCTATCTAGGAAGTTATTAATACTCCTACTAACAATATTTGTATATAATTATATTTTTTAATTATATAAAAACATCAAAATAAATTATAAAAAATTTTGTGAACTTGCATAGCTCTTAGAACTTTTAATCAAACTTAATTTAATAAAAACAGGCAAGAACAATAATTATACTTGGGGTGTTTGTACAAAGGAAGTTAGAACTTCAGCTATATTATGTAGGCATAATATAGCCATTACATAATATAGCAATTACAAGCCCCTAGGTAATTGTGGCCTATGGTATCATCAAAAATGTACATACCTGACTAAAATGGAGTTCAAACGTATTTGTGACACCAAAATAGTTGACTGGAAATGCCAAACGTGTATCCTAATGAAAATGTATTGAATATTGAATGTATTAGTACCTATTGTACTCTCTTGATACCCATGGATTTGCAATATTAAAAACTGTTTTAAGTAGGTTTTTGTTTATGTCACCAAGTAGTAAAACTGAAAAAGTGCAGTATATCTAATTATTTTCAACCATAGGTTCATTGCGAGAAACAAAGTAAGAAAGGGCACATCGAAATGTTGTCAGAACTAAAACTCTATTATCCAACAGGATTTTCACTAACGAGCTGCCAAAATTATCAAAGTCAAAGTTTATTCGCTCATTCGTTATTCGTTTGTTCGTTAGATTCATTTACATTGTAGTTTATCAATCGGGTCGTTCATGAACTAGTATTGTTAAAAACTAGTACAATTATTTATAGATCTGAGTAAGTACACTTTTCATCAGATACTATTTTTGACAGCTGGATTCTCGGAAATCTCGTAGCCAATTAGGCCTTAGTTGTGATGGTATTGTTTTGATTCTCCAAATCTAAAAATAATAAAAGATGTAACTAGCGGAAGTAGTTATGGATATTCTCTAGTGTTTTAGTGTCTTTCAAATAATAATTTGTTTTGGTTCTAGTATTGTAATAAATCTTTCTCCAAATAAAAACTTATTATTTGTACCTACGTTATAATATAATACTACATTTTCTTTAACTACAAACAAAACTCTTGATATTATACTTAATTCACTGTCTTATACGATAAAAAATCATTAAAATAGAAGTTAAAAGTAAACTGAGTATTAAAATTAACCTACTCATTTATCATCGAAAGTGAATTTCTGTTAGGAAATCGATACTTTAAAAATGTTGACTTTAATTAAAATGTTTAACTTTGTTAAATGAATTTACATCATTCTTATGGAACGGCTCTGGACTGCCTCCAGTAATGAAGACTCTTTGGAAGGAAAAGTTTTCAATAAATGTTGCTTTTAAAAGTTTCAACCTTTCAACCAGATGTTGAACTGCATTTCCTCCAATTTATCCTTTCCCTCTTGTTCGCGTAGGTTTGAGAGCATTTTTTTCTAGGATTCAAAAATGTAACTTAACTAAACAATGATTTGGGTTGTGTTGCGGCGCGTGATGAGCCAATGTTATGGTAATAATAAAAACTAACACTTTGAAAATGAACGATGATTTATTGATGTAGAAATGAACAAATAATATTAGTGGACTGTATTATTGAAACTGTAATGAATAACGAAAACTACATGTATATATTTTGATCAAACCTAGCAAATTAACTTATTTTATTCTAAGCTATTGATATTCTACTAAAAACCCCCACTTTATTACTCTCCCTGTAGCAGCAAACCTAGGTCCTTGTGAAACAAAATGTTATTTAATTAGATTTAATTGAAAATCCAATCGGGCAAATGGAAATTCGCTTAGTCTGCAGGATTGCTGCGGTGGGGGTATTTAGGACGTATGTCTCTCCGCAGTTCCGTAAATACCAAAATTACCAAACGCTGGTTTCCTTAGGGTAGATGTCTTGACAAAAGTTCCAATTTGGTTTAGAAAACGCAATGCGTATTACTAGTAATACGTATATTTTGTGCTAGGCACGAGCCCGGGATTGTTTTTCACATTAGCTCTTCAGGCTAGAGCTAGGGGTGCGGCAATATCACTTATACAAAAATCCATTCGTGATTTAGAAAAGAAGGTGATATGGCGGGGTTTGAACTTGGGACCTCAGGGACCGAAGTTCCGTGCTCACATCGCCCCCCAGTAATACTTATATTGAAGCACATATATACAATAATTTGCAACAAGTAGTTTTGGTTTCTCTTCGGAGCCCACTTCAAAGCATTAGTAAATCCACCCCACTACCCCATATTTTCTACTATTCTTAATAAATATATTGGACTATTCATGTAAACACTAATTTATTTTCTTTATTATATAGAACACGAGTACTGTGTTTGGGTGCAGAGGGTGGCTGTTGGTAGGGGTGGCCCGCTAACAACACTCGTTCTAATGAGAAGAACGTGATTTTGTTACTGCTTGCTCTCAGCTTTCGCTGCGATTAAAAACTATTGATGCTGTCACGCTTCCTGCCGCTTGTTTTCTTTCATCAGACATTTTGTCGTGAGAGGCACGTACATGACCCATTTAATCTATTGTTGGATTCCCTGTGTAATTTTGGATTTGAAAATAATCATGAGATGTCTCTGAAAATAAGTTTCCTCAAAGTGTGGATGTGTACACTTAAAGCAAAAATGAAAAAACTAAATACTGCTGTAAGAAAAAAATACAAACCATTTCAATAGAAAACGATTATTAACTTCATTACCGGTTGGAGAAGTTTTAAAATTATAGCTGATTATAAACACTATTATATATCAATGTTTACTTGTGCTCCAGCCAACCGACCCTGAAAGACTATGTAGCACTAGCACGGATATTAGAACAGATATGGATCGTAAACACAAACAAATGGCATCACTGGCTTTGACGTAAACTAATAACAATGACGCTGGGTACTGTTTTATATTTTGACTGTAAAACTGTTTTCCTAATTTTAATAATACTGTAGTCTAAATTTTGTTTTGTTTCGGGGTAGTAACTTTGTTTTTTTTTATGATTCATTCCGTTATCTGTTCTAATACCCGGGCTACGTATTCTTGACTCACCTTCCGCCGGTACAGCATAACGTGTACTTCATTATCTGCCAAGTTAATTGTTTGATGTACTTCGCACCACACCATTAACAACAACATCGCTAGTTCATGGCCGATACATTCTTATACAGTGTGTAAATAAAGTCTTTAAACAAATCTGTATTTTTTAAACCGAAACAGATAGAAATATTCTGTTTGTGGCGTTTATTGTTAACGAAGGTTCCGTAATTTTTTACAATAAAAATATTTTTTTACCCTCCTAACGCGGTAGGGGGTAGAGGGTGATTTATATTTTAATAACCCCCCCCCCCATTTAGTGACCCCTCATTTTGAATGGTTTGTCAAAATAAATACAATGACGCAAACCCGAGGTAGATATTTCATCCCTAGCCTAAATGGCGGGCATTCCAAAATTTGATTTATGTGAAAATCACCCATTTTTGCTATTTGAAAAAAATAAGTCACCCCTACCCCCTACCCTGTCAGGGGGGTTAATTTTATTTATTTATTTTTTTATTTGTGGAACATTTGTTTTGAATCAATGCTTATGCTACAAACAGAATATTTCTATCTATTTCAGTTTTAAAAATACAGATTTGTTTCAAGACTTAATTTACACACTGTATACTTATGTGTATTTGTTTATTTATTATGTTTGTCGAGATTCTTTTCACGTCTTCAACCTAAATCGACTACATACATACTTGACGGCTTTATTAATTTTTTGACATGAAATAACAGTTAAAGGAACCAAATCTACTTATGATCGTTCCACTGAAGTATAGACGAAATAGATCATAAATTTGATTATTCATAAACGATATTCTAACCGTGCATTGGTGTCTTCTTTCAATATAGAGAGATTTTATCAGCAATCGTAAATGCAACAGTATTGTAAAACCTTTCTAACATCAAACAAAACTATCCTTACTCTTTTCGCACCTTACAAGGAGATTGATGCAGCAGTATTTAAGTGTTAGCCTACGATAAAACTAGCAAGGGATAGAAACTAAATACATAGAAATCCTCCGAATACGAGAACTTGGAAACCTATCAGCTTCAAGATATGGAAAAAAACAGGAGAGGTGCATCTTTTGACAACTAGCTAAACGTAATAATATGATAAACATTGGATGTTTTTCATTTTTATGTTTTTCTTTTATCTTGCATCTCCTCTGTGTTAGGTTGGTAGCGGCAAACCCAGTAGGACTCTCCCCGTCCGTACCCGGGGGTCGTTACCGCTCATACCCGTAGTCTCCCAGGTACTCATCGTCAACTCAACGCAGGTTGGCATACGCCTCAACGCTTGGCCGGACGGTGGCTGTCCCATGTTGTACTTCGTCATAGAGTACGCCCTCGCCAACGCCATGGACTTCACTGTTGGTACGTGGACGTTCGTCCTATGTTGCATCAAGTAGATGACCCATATGGGCCAGTTGAGCTAGTTTATACAAATTGTACATAGTTGATGAGCCTTTCACTCACAGAATATGTGGCCTAAAACATATTTTTCTCTTTTTTCTACCATCGTAGTTAATGACATTTAAAAGATAGGTTCTGTAGTTGACAATAATTTGCCCCTTTATTTTGGCTTGTCCCTGACAAGAAAAACAAATGTTAGTAGACTGAAAGACGTTTTATTACCGGATTATTCAAACTACAGAAGAGAGTAATACACTTTCAGACACACTCAATACTTTTCTCGATTGTTTTAATTTGTGAAAATACAATATTGACATTCAGTTTTAAATTATTTAGCCAATATGTGTTTCAGTTGGCAACAATATAAGTCCCGACAAACTATACAACATCGTAGGACTGACCCCTGCCACTGAATATCGTCTCCGTATCACCTCACACAACTCAGCTGGATCCACCACTGCCACCTACACCTTCGTCACCCTCAATAACCTGGGAGGTACGCACTATCTTATAAAAGCCTATGCCAGCAATATTGTAATGTCGCACACAATTGAATTTAAAGTTGCAATAAGTGTGTTGCTCATTTATTGGTTGGAATCTCGAAGTTGTTTGTTGAAAGATGGATTCAATTCTCAGCATATCTAGAAACATTTGTGAGTTTTGACTACCTACTCATTTGGTGAAAAACAAAATTGGCCTGAAAGATAGACGTTAACATAAAACTTGAGGGTTAAAAAATAACATCAAAATTCGACATTATCGGAGAACTTTGTTGAAGAGACCAGACACAGTATGATAATTGCTATTTTTTTGTTTATCATAGTCTATAATAACAATCTAAAACAATCATCATGGTAAATGGAAGACTCAGTTTAAAAATAAAATACAAAATAGTATATAGTTATATTTAACACTTACTCGTACAAAGTAATTTTTCCTGTCTCTCATTAAAATTTTTTTAACTTTGCCTATAATTCAAATTATTTTAAGATACTTAGTGAATGCAGCACAGTCAATTAAAGAAGTTAATAACAAATTTTGATGGAGGCCATGGAATAGTTAATAGAGTTATTTTTCAGTTACAGTGATCCCAAGCCAAGTAGTTACTCTAGGAGATCATCGACAGCCGTTCCACAAGGACATCAAAGTCGTCACACTCTCAATATTCTCAAGCATTATGCTCATCCTCAGTCTTCTAGCTCTTTGCTTCTGCGTGAAAAGAAGTAAGTTCACAAATTACTCAACACATATGTAACACTAAATGTATTAACAGCCAAAGCTCTTTATATATTAGTGGTGTTGATTCATCGTGCATTAAATGTTATGTCAAAACCCAACTTCGTTTATAAACCCGATTGCAATATTAAATTATGTAGATTTTATAAACTGTAGGCGCGTTAGTGACTTCAACGTATATTGTAATACAATCACGATTACTAGAATAACACTGTATAAATACCCCAAAACAAGGTCATCGACTCCAAAGTAAGGATGGATGTCCTGGTCAAAAATTGAAATATAGTTGTTTAATGCATTTCTTGTTTTCTTTTTATTCAGTTAGCAAAACGATGTTCGTATTTTAAGCTGAAAAGATAATGTAGTTTAGGCGTACAATGGAGCGGGATGTCTTTTGGGCCTACTGGCTAATACCAGCTGATTCTATGGCCAGGACCATTTATTTAGCTCAATGATTGTCAAGTAAAATATGACATTCCCCGAAGACAAATATCACACATAAGTTGATCGCTGACGAAAGATGTTTGCATTTGAGTTAAGTGTGTCATAATTTGTTTTGGGATACAGCCCCAATGTCAGTTGTTCTTATATAATATATAAACCTGGGCATTGATCTACCACTCTCATGAGTAGTAGAGAGTCAAAAATCCGAACCAATTGGGACCTCAGGTAGTTCAGATTAGCGCTTTGTTTGGATTTTCAAACAAAGCCTAGAAATGCCTGTTATAGACACATAATTAGGCCTACAGTATTAAAAATACAGTTCTAGGATAGGGGCTACATTGAATGAAATGAAAACAATGATTTTTGTACTTAGGTATTTTCAATACATTACTGTAATTTGTTTCTTGAAAAAATATGTACATTGGAAATAAACAAAATACAGACTGGCTCGGCCCGTTCACTCATTTCTCTGCCGAGCGCCGACTGTTCGGCCCGCGAAATTGTAAAACATCTGTTGTCTCTGTGCTAATTCAATATTTTAAAACTCTCAGGGGTGGTTCGGATTTTTGACGTTTCGGATTTTTTGACGTTCTGATTTTTGACGTTCGGATTTTCGACTCTCTACTGTACTGTGTTCCACAGGAGACTTGGCACAAACCCCAGGACGCATTCTTGAGGAGACGCAATCAACTGCTACGCAAGACAACAAGCACAACCGAGACCAGTACTACGCAACCGTGCGCAAGCTACCACCCTCCCCTGCGCATCTAGAGTGTATACCAGGTACACTATGTGTTAGTAAGAGGCACTACTGTTGAATTAAATCAACAACTTTTACAAAAAGGATGTGGTTCTCGGGGAATTATCATACCATAGATTAATTGTACATCCTATAGTTTGAACACCCTTGTGGGTCAGATAATGACAAGTTCATTTTTTTACGTTTCCTTACTCAAACGTCGACGTCATCGTCATTACGTTATCATTTCGATGATCATTACCATTAGTTTCTTGTGTCTATCTATTTTTCTCTTGGTTTGAAAAAATTAAACACAACAAAGTATAAACTATTTTCTATATTTTCTAATTATTGTAACCTTGTCTGCTGATATTATAGCCTAGGTAAAATAGTTATGATATCAGAACGGTATAGTATCATTATAAATAATCCACTAACAAAACTGTTATTTTATACGCACGTTGTAAATATATAATTTAGAACAAACCCGCACTACATTAGAACTTAAACACCAATATTAGTTTGAAATAAATGTTATTTTAAAACAAAATTATATCCTTAGAATATTCAGAGGACATCCGACCTTACGCTACGTTCCATGTTTCATCCGCAGGGGATGACACGAAACTGCAGACGTTTGCCTATCGGGAGAGCCAGCTGTCGCCGAGCAGGAAGGTAGGGTTTACAGTATGTGGAAACTATCTGTCAACTATCTCTAGTGCATCTATGTGTATAAAGTGTCCAACTATCTGTCACAAGTGTCTAATCCAACTTCGTAGTTTCTGGCCTTTGACGTGAACTCCACACTAAAATATTCACAAGGACATTTAGGTTGTAATGAACTACTTTTAGACTAATTTATATCGGACGGTTTACATTTCGTTTATTAAATACATAAATGATATAAAATAGTCTAGTAAAATCGTTACTATACCAAACCTTTACTTGAGTGACATTTCACGTACAACTTAAGTCATGTCAAAACCTTATTACTTTAGAATATTAATAACAATTAGTTATGGTACAAATCGTAAATCTTATGAGATAAACTTGCTGTAACTAACTTCAAGTATTTACATTAATTAAAATTACGAACTCTTCCAAAATTAAAATTTTTTTCTTCAGCGAAGAAAAGATTTATTTTAAAAATTGGAAAGAGGACCCCGATTCAAGTACAGTCAAAAACTTACTAGGATTTTATTTTAGTCCATCCAAAGCAGTGATTATAGTAGAGTTTTTCTCAAGTTCTGCATGATGTAGGGAACGCCTAGCGGAGTTCTGGATGCATCCCGCAATGTGTAGTCATATTGCATAACCAGCGCCGTGCTGTAGTCACAATATTCGTTGAGTAACCCTAGGCATACAGTTTATAAAGTTTGGTAAATTATATACGGAACTATAACGGTTTGTTTTTTATTTATATTGAGATATTGAGTAATACCATGACAACCTATCACAACATGTTAATACTTGTGTTTTATAATTATTTTAAAATTTAAATACAAATTAGGGAAATCTTATACAACGGGAACATGTTTTACTGAAAATGTGTAAACCAAATTAACCATGGGCTCTAAAATACTATAAAACATTACATACGACCCGGAAATATATTGCTTTTTTAACTGACTACGATCTCCTAAATTAAATAGAATTTCACATCCTCTGTTGAATGGACTAACTTTTATTCTTGATGTAGTAAGGTACAGACCGCTGCGTAAATTTAAGCAGTTACCTTGTACCAGACTATAGAGCTATAGTCTGTGCTTTTACTTATTTCTTTCTATGTTCCTATTCATTTTTTGTATTATATGACTGAACATGTGCATTTTTGACTGCCATTAATGGATTGATGTATATGTTTTGTGCATTAATCGTAATACATTAACGCTGATCTTTTATACTCTATTTAATGTTATTTAATTACGTAATAATGGCGATGCTAATAGCTTTATTGATGTAGTTTGACTTAATTATCTTTTTTATATTTTTTACATGATATGTATATTACACGTTTTCATTTTTTTTTTTTACTTGCCTTTACTTGCTCTAGCTCTAGATGGAGTTGAATCTTTTCAAACGATAGGGTTCTTTAATGCTTAAGGTTTTCTTGCCTTTCTGAAAGTATGTATCTCTATGACATGGATTATTTTTTTCATCTTAATCCCTAATCCTTATCTATATTTCTCTTCATCTCTATCTTTACCTTACTACAAATGTTGTATTTTAATATTGTATGCATGCATCATGTCCCTAGCCCCACTTTTTCATCTACCTGACATTCCCCATTGGAGAAAATAAACTAAAACTACAATTTTAAACTTCTGATTATTTGTCTAGTCAACAACGCGTGTCACAGACGATTACTGCAGGAAAAAGTCGCGGCAGAGATTAAACGAAGACTACGACAGCTACGGGTCCGAGTCTGACACCGAACCAGGGAATTCTAGCAGAGGGGAGTCGACCAACCAGCTGGACGAGAGAGGGGGATTTCACGTCCACGGGGGTCGCAAACACTCGGGGAGCTCGGTGCCACATGAGCCCCTCTACCCGGAGTGGGGGCATGCGCAGTCTCCTAGTCATACTAGAGCGCACGCTCAGTACCAGCGCAGGTACTACCACCTACAGCAAACCCAGGCGCTGCCTCGACCACGAGACTGAACTCAAACACACACTTCAACTAGTCCATCTAACTCTTGTGTTTAATTTAGTTTTATTTTGAGGTCACAAGCTACCAGTATCAAAAATGCTCCCTTGTACATATGACTCTTTGCACTTACTTCAGTGTTCACAATTTTGTAAACTTTTAAGTTTGTATAATGAATTGGAAATCCACAAAATTAATGTTTAGATAATAATGAGTTTTCATAGTTACAACGGGTTTATGGTAAAATCGTCATTCTGCACATTAGTTTGAAAATTCTCAAAAAAGGTATATGGAATCTTATAAAAACCAAATTGAGAACACGACAGAGAAAATAACTAATTACACACCAACTCTGTAGTAAAATCTTGTTGAATAGATACAAACTGTAACTCTGAGTCAAGCAAGGAAAGCAGACACTGGATTTTACTGTACTCTCACTTCAGTTTTCTGTTAAGGAATTGGTACAGATTAAGGACCACACCACGATGCTAGGCCATGGATGTAACAGGTTTTATGATGTCAAATCAATATCTCAAGCTAATTATTCGCTCGGCCTAAATACTTCACTGAATTTATTGTCCTCTTTTTTTTAACGGAAATTGTATTTCTCCTGGTAGGCCACGCAACAAATATTCCTAACGGCAACTTGCTTAGAACGTAAACCACACCAACCCTTGTCTTGAATTCAATACAAATTCAATTTACTGTACTCCATTCTTCCGTATGGTAGGTTGATTTAGTCTATTTCAACAATTATTTCAACGAATAGAATATTGCAGCAATTTTACAAAGACACTGAAGACCTATAATTTGTTTTAACTTATCATATAATAAAAAGAAACGTGTTTGCATTAATAAATTAAATTGAGTTATTTCAAAGTACTTGAGATTCTCTATACTTATTTCAAAATAATTACAATCACTGAACATCTGAATCACGTTTTAGAGAATAGAAAAACTTTAATTTTAGTTACAGCCTGGATTTTGGGCATTTAACTCTCGTATACATTTAAAAGGCTTTCTGATATTAAAGATAAATTATTTAGGACCTTACGAGAATACTTGATGTATTAAATAACTAACTCTTACCACAGAGAACGTAAATTTTTACCTTTACGACCTGTGTGGCTTACTGTTACTATTTCCATTTTATTTATTCAGAACTTTGTCGGTTTTCGATGGAAAGGTGCATAATTGAGGTTATTATATGCTACCGATAAGTATGTGTGATGTATTTTTTATATTTTTTTTTATGATTAAATTAAATAAATTTCCAAACAAACTCGCATTTAAGGTACATTTATTACATAGCCTTCTTATATAAATAATATGGTAATTGGGGTTAGACTCTTAATAATTGTTATTTCATATTATTAAAAATGTATTAATATAATATATAAAATATAAAATAATATAATCAAAATGAAAAATAATAGACATTTATGTATAATATCATATAATCAAAATTCATATTATTTAAATCCTATTTCGAAGATTCATAGATTCAGACGTTCGTGCCTAAATTATTTCTGAAATTTAAAAAATAGTTAATAAAATTCATATTATTATATTAAAATTCTGCATCCAACATTTTAAACGTGTGAATATGAATAATTGTAGTAAAATGTATTCGAATTCATTATAAATTAGTTTTTTTCTTCCTTCACGATTTTGAGTTATTATTTCTGTGGTGTGCCTTACGAAACCACGTTTTTGGCCGTGTATTATTAGTTTTTATTAATTTAACAGCCAATATAAAATTAGGCATATTTGATCATATTAGACTATATATGCTATCAGTTTCAGTTATTTAGGGGGTGTGTTATTTTCGTGCAGAAGAATACACGAGTTTCAATAAATTAATTGTACCCCTAAGAGTCATCCTTATAAAGTTTTAGTTGATATGAAGACATTGTTTTTGCGATTTTATGCTATCTTTTATACTTAGCTCTTATACTTATCATAAGTTTGGTTCACTTCAAGTATTATTAGACATTTAAACACAAAGTTATGCTATGAAGATAACGTATGTCAACTACTTATACGTATGATATCATGTTAACATCAAACTATCTAGTTACACAAGGCCGTTTGACCGTTGTCATAAAAGTCCTATGTATTTTATACACCTTATAGAAATACCAAAACTACTCGAAGGGAGAGCCCGATTTTTACTATTAAAATATTTTGTTTACAACAATGAGTTTTTCGCTCATTATTTTGCTCACAACAAAGGGATCACTTTAATATAAACATGTGTATAGGATCGGCATTAGTCTTTTGTAGGTTCTTTGTATTTTTGTAAATAATGTTGGACACGAATAGAGCTTGAAGAATAATGGACATGGTGTAAAGATATCAGAAATTGTTGGTTTATAACTCTAGCGAGTAATAAAGTATTTTAACGTTTGTGATATTTATATTGACACGAATGGATACAGTTTTAATATATATATGTACATGTTATGTATATTTCAAATTAAAACTTTATAACGTGTTATAAGAAGGATTAGAATCAAAATTAAGGTTACCCAATGTTATCTTACTACATTAGCTCTGCGCTGTTGTATTTCTGTTCAAATGTTATGTTAACGCATTGTTGCTGTCACGAGAGCTATCTATTTTACTGTGTTATGTGAATAGCTGTTACAGAAGCCATGTTAAAGCTAACAAGACCCCACACTTTATATTAAGTCCTTAAGCACTTTCATGTTTAAATGTTTATACGTTACAGAAAATGTTACATACAACAGTAAGTTTAAGTGTTTTCCATTTTACTTTCTGGTTTTCCTTTTAAATAAACACTAAACTTCCTGAATTATGGGTGTAAAAATATTAATTACTAACCAAAATGGTGAATCAAACTAAATTTCGTTATTAAGAATTGCGGGTTTATGACCTAATGTCAATTAATTGACAATTTAAAAACCAAATTGTAATCCATTTTTAGTATCCTAAACTACGTAAGAAATATTAGACATTAATACCTTTATTTCCTATGGAGTGAGCTGGTCTAGACCATGGTTAGAGCGCGGGACCAAGCTCCCCGGTTAAAATCCCGCCCATTAACAAATGGATTTTATCGAAGTGACAATGCCGCAAACCCTAGGTCTAGCCTGAAGTAATGTGAAAAATAATCCCGGGCTCGTGCCTAGCGTCCTACGACAACAAATATATCTCTTTTTCCTGCCTTTTTCATATTTCACAAATCATAGATATCTCGAGTATTGAGGCTTGAAACCTAATTGAAACCGTATATAAAAATGGCCAGCCGTTGCATGGTTTTAGATTTAAAATTCCTAAAATGAACTAAAATGTGGACTAGCCTAAATGCATTTATTTTGTGAGAGGAAATCAGAAAACTTTGTGGAAAACACTTAAACCTACTCCCAAACAGGTGTCTTTAAATAAAACGTGTTTATTTTCTTAAGACTATCAATTTATCAATAAAAATGTGCCGTTGATATTGGTGTATAACTTGTTTAAGACGTACAAAGCATATTGGCCATCTGTATGGATCTTATTATTTCGCAGGAAGAGATTTAGTTGTATTTCGGTTTCTATAGATACCGAAAACAACTACATCTCAGGAACACACTACATGTGAATACAGTTTTCTCCAATGTGAATTACTTTGATTAATAGTATTTTCTTCGTATTACTGTATTGTTTATTTTTATTTGTTGTAAACTAATTAAAACTTTAAAAAATATAGCTGTGTAGGCCTACATTGATACACCAGTATTACGTATAATTCCACTGTACTGTACCAATATCGAGTATAAGTTGATAAACGAGTCTCTGTCTATCACAACAATTTACAGAATCGATGTAGTTCTGGAAAAACACTTGTGGTTTGTAATACAGTCTCACACATGTAAACAAACATTTGAATGTTTAATCTGCATAATAAAATTGAATATGGTCTAAAACTGTTTTAGACCAACGGTATAAATCTGACTTTACAGTTAAGTTTGTATTTTACTCAGTACCTATTGCAGTTATGTATATTTAAGTTATTGCCAGAGTCATTCTTTTTTAAAGGGCGATGTTTTCGTGAAGAATTTTGTCACACGAATGATTTTGAGTGAGTTTATTATGGTAAAGATTCTTATAATAACATTATTTACTCTTTCTAAAGGGTCTGGTTTAATTTTAGTGAACTTAAGTTATAAAACAGCGATAAGATCACAAAAAAACGTTTAACTTGTAATTTAGCACTGTGTTAGACATTGTCAGCATTACTAAAAACAATTATTGTTAACGATAGTATTATAATCATAAGACTGACTCCTGTTTTGGATTTACCTAAGAAAACTTTTTCGACTAAAATAAATCTGATGTTTACGCAATTAGCATGTATAACAGAGGAAACATTAACTTGTCGGTTAAATGTTTTGTTCACTTTCAGTTGAGTCATACAAGTATAACAGTGTGAACGTCTTTTGTCTGTGAGTGTAAGATTATTTTTTAAATAAAATTTCAGACATATTGTGTTTTTTTACCTATGACCTAAGCACAATTATTGATGACTTTTAGAACCCTCGGGTGGGGGGGAGTGACCAATCCATCTTTGTTCCAAGTAAGCTGAGGCACTTATTGCAATAACAAACACTCTAGGACTTGTATTAATGGACCTACCGCTGAATCCATTTCGCTGCTCAACAACAAAAATTGTTGGCACTTTCATAATTGCCACTGCAAGACCTTCTATAAAAGAATGGTGTAAACCCATAACCTCTTGCAAAGTCAAAATGGTTACTACTTCCGGTTATGTGCAGATTTTCTTTGTCTACACTAATGCGTTTCAGAACGTTTTGAAAGTTATTTAATACAAATAAAGCAATTACAAGCAAAACGTTGCCCTCGTAGATTTATTTAGCACTACAAAACTATCAGAAATCAATTTATGAGATTGGCAAAACCTAGTTATTGTTTTAAATATCGCCTTTACAAACTAGGTTACCTAGGTTACCTAAGTTTCCTAGGTTACCTAAGAAGTCCTGTCGAGAACTGCAAGGTCTTCAATCAAATCCCAAGGCATCATTTTGTAGACAGGAAAACACACTTATGTAGAAAGCCCGTTTTCACATTAAAATACTCATGTTTAAAAACATCCAGTTGTTGGTATATTAAATCTTCCAGATTTCGGAGGATGAG